GCACCCCTTGTACAGGTAGCGGTGGGCATCTGTAGCCTGTTTCTTGATTTTACTGGAAACACCTTGAATGTTTCCCTATGAAGTCGCTGCCTTAGGAATGAGATCCACACACATACATGTTTCAGGTGAAGGACGTATTCAGTCATTCCTCTTTTCTTGAGTCTTTTACTTTTTCAGGAATAATTGTTGAGGGCTTTTTTCACCATATATGGAGATAATCATAAGATTTTCCCCTCATATCTGTAAATATGGCAAATTGTATGAATGGACTCGAGCTCGCATCCTTGGAGTATATCTGCTTGCAGACTGTATGAATGGACTCGAGCTCACATCCTTGGAGTATATCTGCTTGCAGACTGTATGAATGGACTCGAGCTCGCATCCTTGGAGTATATCTGCTTGCAGACTGTATGAATGGACTCGAGCTCGCATACTTGGAGTATATCTGCTTGCAGACTGTATGAATGGACTCGAGCTCGCATCCTTGGATTACATCTGCTTGGTCATTGGTTATGTTTCTGGGTTATTCACATTCTTTTCCTAATGTGAAACTGGAGTCTATTTCTCAGTACTTCATTTGGCACATTCTCATCAATATTCAAAGGTGATACTGGTGTGTCATTTTCTTTTTTATTTTACTCTCCATATCAGAGTTAAGCATCAATGTTATGCTTCTTAAAAAGGCCTAGAAATTTTCCTTCACTTTCTATGCTCTGGAACGATTTATGGGGCATTGAAAGTATCTCATCGTTGAAGATGTGGTGGAATTCCATGTTAAAACCAAGTGGAGCAGGTGCATGTTTGTGGGTAATTCCTTGATAACTTTCTCTATTCCTTCTACGGGAGTTTATCTTTTAAGCTTGCTATCTCTAATGGGGTCAATTTTTGTAAGTTGTATTTTCCTAGCTAAATACTTTAGGTTTTCAAATTTGTTTATATATAGGTCTTCCCCACTTTTGTTCAATCACTTGCCCTCTGCCACACCCAGGGAGCTACTTTCTGATATTTATTACTGTAGATTAGTTTGGCCTGTTCTTAGATGTCATATAAATAGACTCTTAAGGTTATGAATTTTGCATCTGATTTTTCTTTAATATAGTATTTGTGGGGTTCATCAATGTGTTTGCATAATCCTAAGTTACGAATGTTTTAATGGTGTAACAGCGTTCCATTTTATCAGTGTTCTGCAATTCATTTATTGATTGTTCAGTTGATTGTTGTTCGGGCTATTTCTAGCTTTTGATTATTATCAGTAAGGCCACTGTGAGCATCCTCGTTCAAGCATTTTTGTGAACAAACCCATTTCCCTTGATTAAATACTAAGGGTGGAATTTCTGGGTTGTAGGGTAAATGTACACTTGCCTTTATGCAGAACAGCACAACAGTTTTCCAAAGTGACGGTAGCATTTTTCATTCCCGCAGTTACACTCTCGCCCTCACCAGTATCCAGTGCCGTCAGTCTTTCTGACAGTGGCCATCCTGGGGTGTGAAGCAGCATCTCAACGCAGTTTTAACTTGCATGTCCCTGATGGCTAAGGATGCTGAGCTTATATTCATGTGTATGATGGGTGTTACTCTCTCTCTTTTGGTAAAGTATCTCTGCAAATGTTTGTCCCATTGTTTAAAATTGGGTTATCTTTTAATTGTTGATTTGTAGCAGTTCTTATAGATTCTGGATAAAGTCCTTTGTCAATGTGCTGTGCATATTTTTTTTCTGTGGCTTATCTCTTCATTTTTTCACTGGCATTTTTAAATAAAGCCCAATATATCAAGTTTTTTCTTTAAGGGTTAGTGTTTCTGTACCCTACCAAATCTACCCAACTCAAACTCATGAGGGTGTTTCCTCGGTTTCCTTCTGGAAGCTTCGTGGCTCTGGGCTTTGTGTTTCTGTCTGTCACGGGTCTTAATTTTTTGGTGTGGCGTGAGATAGGAGTTGGGTTCGTTTTTCCATATAGATCTGCAGCGGTCCCGGCCATGCCGCGTCAGACCGTCCTTCCTCACGGATGGACCTAGTGCCTCGGTCAGCCTGTCTATTTGACCTTGTCGTGATGACCACAGCTTTATAGGAAGCCATGAAGTCAAAATACGTTCCACAATTTTGTTCTTTTTTAACAAGTTTTCTTTAGCAAGGCTGGGTCTTTTGCAATTCCATAACTATTTATTTATTATTTTAGTGACAGAGTCTCACTCTGTCACCCAGGCTGGAGTGCAGTGGTGCGACCTCAACTCACTGCAACATTCATTTCCCAGGCTCAAGCGATCCTCCCACCTTAGTCTCCCAAGTAGCTGGGACTACAGGCGTGCACCGCCATGCCCAGCTAGTTTTTGTTGGTTTGTCTTTTTGTAGAGATGGGGTCTTGCTGTATTGCCCAGGCTGGTCTTGAACTGCTGTGCTCAAGCAATCCTCCTACCTCGGCCTCCCAAAGTGCTGGGATTACAAGCGTGAGCCATGGTGCCCAGCCATAAAAATTTTAGAATCAGCTTGTCACTTTCTATAAAGAGAAAAAAAAACCTTAAAATTATGATTGGGGTTACATTATATGTACAGATCAATTTGGGGAGACAGGACATTCTAACTACACTGAGCCTTTCAATCCAGGAACATTTTATATCTCTTAGTTTATTCAGGTATTTTCTCAGTAATGTTTCATAGTCTTCAATATACCAGTCTTGCACACCTTTTATTAGATTTATTCCTAGGTATTTTATGTTTTTTGATTGGGGCCTGGAGTTTTCTTTATGAGAAAGTTTTGATTAGAAATTTGATTTATTTAATAGATATTAGGATATTTGGATTTTCTATTTCTTATATCACTTCTGTTAATTTACATATTTCAAGGAATATTCCTGTTTCATTTAAATTATTTAATGTATTAACTATCCTTTCTAGTATTTCTAGTATTATCCTTTTAATATTTGTAGGACCTGTAGTGATGTACTTTTAAACTCCTGGTCTCAGCAATTTGTTTTTTTCTTGACAAGTCATGCTAGCAGATTATCCATTTTATTAATCTTTTCAAAAATTCAAAATTTGACTCTGTTGATAGGCTCTACTACTGGAGTGTTCTAACCCATTTTCATGGATTTTTGACTCTTACCTTTATGTTTTCTTTCGTTCTACTTACATTAGATTTAACTGACTCTTCTTTCTCTAGTTTCTTGAAGAGGGACTGTATGCTTCTGAAACAGTCATTTTAAGCTCACTGGGAGTTGTGTGACTTCTCTGCGTATGTGTAACTGGAAGTTTATTGCACTTCCTGTGTTCTCATTACCATGCAGCGTACCAGGGAATGTTTTTCAATCTCATTAGCATTCCAAGAAATGAAACTATGACGGTAAAATAATTTATCTCTTTTCAAATTGGCAAAGATTTCAAAAAAAGGAAAATAAAAGTACCCAGCACGGTCCAGATTTAAGGAAAATTAGTCTATGATTTGCTGCTGATAGCCACGAATGTCACGGAAGTCAAAGTCTCCAAATGTCTCTGTTTAAAAGACACAAATTGAAACATTTATGGAAGCCATGTCCAGGTGACTCAGCCCCTTGCCCCCAGCTTCTGCCTTGTGGGGGGGTGTGAGCCTGAGTGAGAGATTCCGGCTGGTAGCCTGTGCTTGCTCAGGCAGTGGCCGTTGCTGCCACGGTGGTACTGATGAAGACAGATCCCGTGACTCAGAGGCCACGTTTTTCGTGCATCCTCACCAGTGATGCCCTGCGAAGCCGCTGCAGGGTGGGGCTGCCGGCTTGCTTCGGAAATAAAGGAAGACTTCACATCAGGAACAACAGCCACATCCTTGCCTTCTCCTCCGCTCCCTCCAAAATCCCACAATAATTACAGCTATAACTAAGATTTAATAATCTACAAATATGAATAACATAAACACAGATGAGTTTAACATCAATATGAAATTAATTTCTCAAAAGTATTTAAGATGCCATAGTTGACATAAGAAAAAGAACTTGCGTACACTAACAGTAAATAAATCAATGTGATGTGAAATTCTGCCCCTTTTCATCCACCATCTCTGCAAAACGTGCCACACTAGAGGGTCTTCAGGGTGAGGCAGACCAGGCCTTCCAGAAGCATTTTGCCCTCATAAGTAGCTGCAGAAAACAGAAGGAAAGGGGCAGGAGCAACTGTGTCTTCATGGTAGTATACACTGCATGCAAAATATGGAGAGAGACCACAGGCTAAGTTTGAACATAGATGGATAACCCCTAAGTGAAGTTAATAATTCCAAGAACAAATTAAAAAGTCATGATCCAATGGGACCTACCTTACAACGTACAAGAATGACTCATTATCAGAAAATCTATCCATCACACTAAAGAAAAACTGTGATTATTTCAGTAAGTACAGAAAAACACTTGATGGAGATCCATATTTCTCTCTCTCTCTCTTTTTTTTTGAGACAGAGTCTTATTCCATTGTGCAGGCTGGAGTGTAGTGGTGCCATCTTGGCTCAGTGCAACGTCTGACCCCCGGGTCCAGGCAGTCCTCCTGCCTCAGCCTCCCAAGTAGCTGGGATTACAGATGTACACCACCACACCCAGCTAATTTTTGTGTTTTTAGTAGAGACGGGGTTTGACGATGTTCACCAGACTGGTGGATGGAGTTCAGTGTTTTTCATAATAAAAATCCTTAGAACAGCCAGAGTACTGCAGATGGTGCGTGGACGGAGGTGCCTATGGAGAAGACAGAAGCTCCTGCCCTCTCTTAGGTGCTGAGTCTCACTGTCACGCCAAGACAAGGTACATATTTTATAACATGTGATTTTGCATTTATTAGAAAAGGGGCCTTGTGAACCATGGCTGCCTTCTCATGTTGCCTGCTAACTTGGAGCCTGCGACAAAATGGTAATAAATACATTAAAAGTAGGCACTTCTGGAGGTTATGAATATGGAGCATGAAACAGGAGGGTATTGCTGAAAATTTAAGCAAACGACACTTGCACTTTTTCATTTTGGATGAGCCAATTCCATTTTTGTTTGTTTTTTTCTAGTCTCTTAATGGCTTTGCTCTGGTCGTGAGTGCTGAAGGGAAGATATTTTACGCATCAGCAACGATCGTGGACTATCTGGGCTTCCACCAGGTAATGAAACCAGAACAGCCTTCCAGGCAGTGAAGTGCTAGGTTCTCTTCGCTTTGTCTTCAAGGTCTGACAAATGTCTAAAACCAGGCTTTTCATCACTGAGCTCTTCTCAGATAAAGATCTCCACACCCCGTCTCTGTCTAGGGCAGCATCTCTTCCAGCCTGGGTTCAGGGTTTCCATGAGAGGCCACTCAGGGTCAGGGGTGTTCCAGTCTAAGGGAGCTGTGGCTTGCGGATGGCGGCATGGCCTCCTCGGCTCAGTCCCCCTGTCCCAGCAGCACCATCCCATCCAGCCACTCCCAGTCAGTGTCGTAACCCTCAGCTTCTGGGTGCACTGAGGACACAGCGTGTTCTGGAAATGCCCTTCCCGACATGTGCGTGGTTCATTTGGAATGCTACCCGGCCAGCCCCAGGTGGACAAGTCCAGGCTTCGGGGCAGAGAATGGGGTTGAGGCCTCATCAGATACCAGGCCCTGGAAGGGCAACTCACCCAGGAAAAGGTGGGATAAAAAAATCTCACCTGGCTGGGTGTGGTGGCTCTCACCTGTAATCCCACTTTGGGAGGCCAAGGCAGGTGGATCACGAGGTCAAGAGATTGAAACCATTGTGGCCAACATGGTGAATCCCCATCTCTATTAAAAATACAAAAATTAGCCAGGCATGGTGGCACATGCCTATAGTCCCAGCTGCTCGGTAAGCTGAGGCAGGAGAATTCCTTGAACCCGGGAGGTGGAGGTTGCAGTGAGATGAGCTCATGCCACTGCACTCCAGCCTGGCGACAGAGTGAGACTTGATCTAAAAAAAAAAAAATCTCACTCAAGGCCAGGAGGGGAACAAAGGAGCTGCTTTTCTGTCTGGGAAGGAGCAGGGGTCCCTTGTGGAAAATCAGATGCTGGTTGTAGAATCCATGTTTCTCTCATTGCACGGCAAGGCTCCCAGGATCTGGAAATCAGGCATATTGCAGACTGATGAGATTAATGGAGAACTCAAAGAAGCAAAAACGGGGCCCTTTATCTCACTTCCACAAGCCACCCCCACAAAAATACCCGCCCTGCAGATGAGTTCCCAATGCAAGTTATAAACCCAAGGAAGGCGTAGACGGTGAGCAGGAGCCAACAGGCAGGTGGACAAACCGTGCTTCCTGGGAGAACTTGAGGAACAAAGCCATTGAGGAAACTGGCAAACAAAGATTTAAAGTAATAGAAGCGTAAAGAAAGCACTCCCTACAATGAGGAAAGAACAGGTGTGTCCGAGAAAGACCGAAACAAAACTGAAAACTAGAGGGGATGTTACATTCAGTCTGGAGATAGAAACTCTACAGAAATTTGAACAGTTTTATAGAAAGACTTAAGACGGTTTAGTTTAAGGGATTGTTAACCAGTAGCACCAGCTCAGCAGCCAAGGACTGAAGGGACTGTGAGGACACAGACATAGCCTTGGCGGGGCAGCGGCACCCACAGGGCCCAGGCAGGGGCTGTCTTGGAAACCCCAGCCCCACTGAGGCTGGAGCCAGACCCTCAGTGGCATGGGTGGGGCCATGGCCTGGTGTTGGAGAAGTTCCTGAGATGCTCAGGCCAGGGCCTGGCTGGCAGGAAGTCTCCCTTTGGGACCCAGGTGAGATGCATACCTGGAGGCTGCTGGACCCTGGGGACAGCTGACACCAGGGGGTGTGCACTGGTGGGGCGGGAGGCCCCAGGGCAGGCCCTTCTACCTGCAGTGCCCAGCACCTCTGCCTCTGAGGAAATGGTCCCAGAGCCAGCATTCAGGCTAAGAGGCAGCACACAGGTGGATCAAAGCCAAAATCTCCCTGGTCAGGTGGAAAGTGTAGGGGCTGTGTGGAGCAGCAGACCGTGGAAGCCACGAACCACCCCCTCAGCCACACTGGTCCCTACACGTCAGTAGCATTCACATCTGCCCAGGCCTGAGGCTGTACAGTTTTTTATCCAATTTCCACAAGAACTGGGATTTTGAGTTTTTTCCCAAAGCTGAAATTGCTGCTGCCTTTCTGGTGATTCTGCGAAGCAGCTCCTCTAGTCCGCCGCTAAGTTCAACCCCCTGCCCCTGAGCCCAAGGCTGCCCTCCCTGTGAACTGCCAGGACCAGGTGACCACCAGGCTCACGGCAGCGAACTTGTTTTCTGCACCTCGGCTATCTCTGCACATCTGACACCTCCTCAGGATGGCCTCTTCCCCAGCGTTCATGTGAAGGTGCAGCTCATCAGCAGGCCTGGGCCGGCCCTGGTGGAGGACGCAGAGGGACACAGCTGTGTGCAGGGAGAGGGAATGCCGTGCTGTGGGCATGGCTGCCAAGGGGTGTCCAGGTCGCTGCCCTCCTGGGAACTCAGCTCTGCTGTTCCAGCAGCAACCTTGATGACTGAGCCTCGTTTTTTGTGGCACACGATGGCCAGCAGTGGTGTTTGCCTGCCAGGCTGCGGCCAGACCACGGGACACTGAGCAGAGGAGTGCTGGGAAAAGCCCTGGTGCCTGGCGCCACAGAGGGACATCACTCCAGGCGGCTGTTTCAACGCCGTGTGACCACAGGCTTTGCTGAGTGTGCTCTGCTGTGGCCGCAGCACTTTCAGCTCCTGACATCTCCTATGAGAGGGGACCTGCAGTGACAGCTGACAGGTCCCTCCTTCCCTCAGATCACGTGAGCATCTGGGTGGCCGACAGTGTCATCTCCATCTTCTGTGCTCAGATCCCATGGAGCTGCCCGTGGGATGCTTCCTTTCCATGCGTGGAGAGTAGTGGAGTGGGTCTGTATGTATTTGCTGGGGTTTGGTGCCTCCCTCACCGTGCGGTGCCCCAAACAGGGGAATACTTTCGTGACAGGATGTGGGTGGACATGAGGTGTGGCTCGGTGACTACGTCAACCTAAACAGAGCAGCTTCGGCTTGGTCTCTTGGCTGTGCGTGCAGGGCGAGTCTAGAGAAGGCCGCTTGCTCTGCCTTTTGCACGCTCGGAATCATCTGCAGCTCCAGTTGCTGCATCCTGAGCTGCCCCGTGTTCTCCAGACGCACCCAGAGCTGCTGCCTTCAGCCAGGCTCGATGGGCTCACTCCAGGGTTTGGCTCTGGGGATGGGGGCAGGTGCTGTGCAGAGCACTTTGATTCTGGGTCAGAACTTGCTAATTGGACTTTATGTTTTCTTGGCGTTTGGTCACTTTCCCCCCAAGCATGAGAAGTTAAAAACCAAAAAAAGTTTTGCCTTGATTATGAGGAAATTGGTTCCAAATGCCATTAAATCAGGCATTCCCTCTAGTTTATGCAGAATAACTCATGAAAACTTTAGAACAGCTCTGTGCTGATGTGAGCTTATTGTGCAAAATGCTTTAAAAAAGTCAGGAACCAATTGTTCCCTGTCACTGCACGAGCGCACGAGTTCAGTGTCTTCGAGCTCAGCATGCCTGGTGATGAATACACGGCCTCAGGCGTATATTTTGGTTGCCATTGACATCTGTTGATTCAAGAGGTGGTTCGTTCTTTCAGAGGTTAGAGCTCGTGGATCAGAACAGTTAGACTCCCACAGGCATGGTTAGCAGATGTGCATGCTTTTGTGCAGACAGGTAAGAATGTCAGCTGCTGGAGTGAGCAGCTTATTAAAATTGGAAATGATTTTATTCTGAGCTCTGTAAGTGGTGGTGTGGAGCTAAAATAAAGACTCCTCTACCTGACGAAAGGAGGGTTTGTTTTCTACTACTGGGATAATCTTTGTGTCCTGCTCTTCCCCTCCCATTTCTCCCACTGTGTCTCTTGCTGTCACTCTGTAGGAATCAGATGTTAAAACATTAAGAAAGACGTAGGGCAGACATGCCACACTAATGAGTAAAACACAGAACTTTGTTTCCTCAACCTAAACATTTACATTTCACTCCGTACAAGTCTTTAGATTGGCCTTGGTTGGAGGCGTCTTTCTGGTGCTCTGAGGCCCCCTCCGTGTGCTCTGCGGCCTTGGTTGAGCAGCGGCCCTTTCTCGCTTGTAGATTGCCTTTTGTTATGTGGCTGCAGGGTGGGAGACAATGGCGAGGCAGTTGGGGAGGCCTGGGGCTGCTCAGGGAGGGTACTGGGGGTAACCTTCCGGGGACCTAATGCTCAGCATTGCCTATGGAAACGCATGCGAGGGCCATTTGGTGTGGGGCAACATGGGGTTGCCAGGGCTGGGCTACCGCTGCTCTGTGCAGGAGGCGTGCTCCATGGTGAAGGACTGGAGAGAGTTCTGGAAGGTGCAGGGCCTCATGATCTGTGGAGGAGGAGGAGGCATGCTCCATGGTGAAGGACTGGAGACAGACAGCCAGCAAGCTCTGGAAGGTGCAGGGCCTCATGATCTGTGGAGGAGGAGGAGGCGTGCTCCATGGTGAAGGACTGGAGACAGACAGCCAGCAAGCTCTGGAAGGTGCAGGGCCTCATGATCTGGTGCAGCACCAGCTACTGAGAGGACAGCCAGGCGTCCACATAGCAGGGCACCCAGGCATCCAGCACTGCCATGTGCCTCTGGCACAAGCCCAGGCCTTGGTGACTGGTGAGTCAGAGAAGTCCCCTGACCGCCTGGCTGGGTGTACCATGCATTGCAATGGCAGCCAGATTTCCCAGATGCAGAGAGCAAGGGGCTACAGGTGAAGTGGCAGCTGCCAGCCACATGACCAGGGGTGCAGACCACCTCATGGGCCTCATCCCAACTGTGACCATAAAGATGAAGGAGTCTTTCTCTTCTGCTGGGAAATAGGTCTCTGCTTGCAGTCCTTGGGGCTGAGGGCAAGAATCTATTTTTAAAAGGAATGGCAGAATCTCAGCTGACTGAAACCTCAGCCTCCCAGGTTCAAGCAAGTCTCCTGCCTTGGTCTCCCTAGGAGCTGAGATTACAGGTGTGCACCAGCATGCCTGGCTAATTTTTGTATTTTTAGTAGAGACGGGTTCACGATGTTGGCCAGACTGGTCTCCAACTCCTGACCTCAAGGGATCCACCCGCCTCAGCTGCCCAAAGTGCTGGGATGACAGGCATGAACCACTGTGCCAGCTGGGAATTTTAGTCTTTAAAGCAACATTTATGAAGGAAGAAATCAGGGCTGGCAGCAAGCGTAAGGGGAATGCCACTTGCCTCTGGACGCTGGTTCCTGTACGATTCAGTTTTAAAAAGCTGGCACTGAAATGCAGGTCAGAGCTCGCACAAGAGGAAGGTGCTTGTCCTGGTAGAGCAGGGGCCCTCTGAGAGGCCCGGCTCTTACTGCGTGGGGACCAACAGGCTGGCCAGTGAGAGCGGATTGGGTAGGTGTTTCTGTTTGTTGCCAACCTCCGTTTACTGGGAGCGTCACCACACCACTCTCTATAAGCTGTGAAGCCAAAGTCATAAGGTCTCTAATTTAGAAGGGGCACACCCAGGTTTTGGGTCTTTGTTTTCTTGCCTTTGTGTATGCATGCCAGGGGTAAAGTGGATTTTAAGGTGTGGAATTGGGAGGGAGAGTGGTCTGGATGAGAATTCTGAAGCTTCCCTATGGATCCCCTTTTCTGGCCATCAGGATGTGGATGTACATTTCTTAAAATTCTCACACGCTGCATCCTTCAGCCTGCAGACCCTGCGGAGACATGAGAGGCGATGCCACGGTGGTTATGTGGCTGAGCATCCTCTGATGGGCTGAGGCTGCCGCCATACAGCGGCAGAACCACTCAGTTCCTGGAGAAGGGAGTTTTGACTGTGGAGGAGGAGCTGCTGGCTACTTGGTGATAAGAGAGCTGGGAAGCCCTGGATCTGGGAAAACCTGGCTTTCATTGAACAGGACAGGATGGAAGCCTAAACCCAGCATTGCTTACTCGGCCCTGAATTAACAGAGTTTCATGGAGAGAATCCCCTGGCAATAGGAAGTCAAGGGAGAAAGAGGGAGCACTAGGGCTGGGAGGAGCTGACTCCTGAGAGCAGAGGAGGGACCAGGGCCTTCACATTTGAACGGAGGTGGCGCTGCAGACATCGGCTGAGCTGCAACCCTGCAGGAGGAAGCCAGTCTTGAGTCCTGGCTCACACCACAGACAGCTTCAGGGCGATGATGGAAGTTTCTAGAAGACAACGGGGCAGAGCTTGGAGATCTGTAAGGAAAGATTTCTTAGGAAAAAAGCTCTCCCCACATGGAGAGGATGGATGGGTTTGGCTGTGTGGTGTCCATCAGGAGGGTGGGAAGCGGTGGGGACACATCCCAGGGAATGTGCGTCCAGAAAGGCCTGGGCAGGGCAGCCGGATACTCAGTGGAGATTCCAGAAAGAGATGCAGCCAGGCCACCTGCACGCACGCAGTCACGCACACCCGTAAGCACGCAGCCACGCACATGTGCAGCCACACACGTGTATGCATGCAGCCACACATGCATGCAGTGACACATGCACGTACACACACACACACACACACACAGCCATGCACGTATGCTGCCACACATGCCCTTACGCACACAGCCATGCATGCACATATACACATAGCCACACATACACGCACACACGAAGCCACACACACACCCACACACTGATGCACCCTCACACACACATGCACTCACTCATCGCTGACTATCCCAAATATGTAAGGTGCTCATTCTTATGGTTCATGACATGGGAATTGAAACCACAGAGAGAAACATGGCATATCCACCGCAGCGACTAAAATAGAAAGGGGGAAAAGGACGAACATTGGCCAGAAGCCGCAGCCCTGGAGCATCCGTGCATGGCCATGCCTAAGCGTATGTTGGTGAGCCTTGGAGACTGTCGGGGTTAACTGGCAGCTGAGCCTCCCCGGCTTGGGAGGCCTCGGCCTGTATGCAGCTCCATGGAGTGGGTGCCGTGTGTGTGCGCGTGGAGTGGGCAAGGCCTTGTGCTGCAGGTGCCCACACGGTTGCTATGCGGGGCAGGGGGACCCTGGCAGGCACCCTCCCTCTATATGCAGTCACCTGCACAGAACCAGCCCCCGCACTGAGGGCAAGGGCGGCCCCGACTCATGGGCAGACACAGCCTCGCGGGTGCCGGCGATGTCCTGTGGTCTCACCTGGGTAGTGGTTTCTTGGAGGTGACTCATCAGCTGCCTGTTCTTGATTGGGTGCTTTTTGGCCTAAGTTACCCTCCAGTCACAGAAGTCCTTAGGAAGGCAGCGATGTTAGAGCCATCGGGGCATGCACGGCAGGAGGCTGGTGCGGCCCTTTTTGCCTCAAGGGGTGTCTACCCGCGGCCCCGCTTTCACCTCCGTAGCCTCTGGCCTGCCAGCACCGATGGAAGGTGGTGCCGCTTCCCAGCTCTCTGCCCTCCTTTTTGGACTCCTCTGCCCACTGCCTTCCGTGACAGCACATTCACAGAAGGGGACAGCGGGGACACCGGCAGTGAGAGTCCAGCCCCTTCAGGGAGGGCCACCTCCTTCTGTCCTCCTGAGGCCATGTCTCTTCTTGTTCAGGGAGCCCTGCAGGTCCTGCCATGAGGCTGCTTGAAGCTGCTTATCCCTTTAGTGTGAGTTTATTAGTTACATCTTCTAAAGTCTTGATTCTTATGGAGCTTCGTATCCAGTTAGGAAAAACCACTTGGTTATTATTATCATGATAATAAATGTCACTTAGAATTAGGTCACCCTGAAATAGTCCTGAGGTCACTAGCAGTCCCTGGCAGTGTTAATTATTTGGGGGGTGGCCCAGATGAGCCAGACTCCAGGTGCAGACACCTGACATCCTTCAGTTATGAGAAGGAAGAGGGTGGTGGGACAGACATCCTTCCTCAGGCTCAGACATACTCACTGGCAGTGGTGACAGTCAGGTCCATCTTGAAGTCAGTCTTCCTGACCCACAGCGTCAGCCTCTGTCACCAGACATGGACCCCGGGTGCCTGTGAAGGTCGGTCTCTGTGTCAGGGCCCAGATTTGCTTCCGAGCAGGAGGAAGGAGAGAGGACCAGAGAGAGGCCTGTGAACTGGCGGGTCCTGGAGGCATCGTGGGAGTGGGAAGAGGTTGAGGCCCAGGTGTCAGGATGAAGGGAATCGCCGGCCGTAAGATGTGAAGTGACGGGAAACAGTCACAAAGAGGGCAAGTCACCAGGAAGGTGGATGTCTTGGCCCCAAAATGTCTGCAGCCCAGAAGATGCTCATCTCTTAGCCTCCCCTTGCCCCTGAAGGCTGGATGTGGGCGCCACGGGGCTGGCAGATGGGTGGGCGGGTGTTCCAGGCAACTTAGGCATCTTCCCAGGAGGGAGCGTGGGGGCCCAGGGCCAAGCGCCGTCTTTTCGGTGGGATTCTCTCCCCATGGCTGTGACTTGCTTTGACAAGCAGAGGGGAAACTCATCCATGGAGTGAAGTGTGCAAAGCCACTTGGGGAAAGGCTAAAATAACCTTGTTGCAATATTTCAGACGGACGTAATGCACCAGAACATTTACGACTACATCCATGTGGACGACCGCCAGGACTTCCGCCGGCAGCTGCACTGGGCCATGGACCCTCCCCAGGTGGTGTCTGGGCAGCCCCCGCCCTCGGAGACAGGTGGGTCAGCAAAACCTAGAACAGGTCATGTAGCACGTTGATGCCTCTGGAAGAACAGGTCACATAGCACGTTGATGCCTCTGGAAAATGTCCTGGCGCACCTTCTTGGTGTGCTCTGCCTTCCACATTGACCTTAGCACCCAATCCCACCTTTCCTCAGAGACCTCCTCCCATGTCCCTTCCGCCCTCTGCTTGGGCCGCCACCAACTCTGTGTGGCTCCTGAGTGCTTCACTCCTGGCTGCCTTCCTGGGCTCTGCCAGGCTTCAGGTCACTGCCATTCTTGCCGCCTCACCGTGAGCTGCAGTCCTGGCCTCCTGCTTTGCAAACTCCCCTCAAGTCTCATGTCTGCCAAGAAGTTTCTTTGCTTCATACTAGATTTTTCCAAAAAATGCCCCTGTAAGTTTGTTGCTATTCAGAGTCAGTTGCCCCTTTTTACGAAGACCCCCTGCACAGGGCTTGCCCCCTGCCACCCCATGGCCCCGACTGGTAAGATGAGCCCTGCAGGCGTGCGGCTCTGCAGAGATGGCATCTGCCCAGAGGTCCTGTGCAGAGGGCGGCTCCCTGGTCCTCTTACACAGATCCACAGAGGCCTAAAATAATTCATAGAAGTTTCCACCACAGCCTCATGGGACAGCATGATTTACCTTAAATCAAAACAGCAGAGCCCAGGCACCGACCTGCAGACCTTTTCATAAAGCTAAAAACAAGCAAGATGGAACCATTGGATCGTTGTGCATGCACATGTGCTAAAAACAATGTTTTTAAAGGCAAAGGGATGCTGGGGGCCGGAGGGAGGGGTGTGCAGTGATAGGGTTTCTACCACCTTGGCGTGAGGACCATGGCGTTTGCCGCATGTTCTGTGCGTGCTGCTGCATGCTGTTTGCCGCATGCTCTATGTATGTTGCCACATGCTCTGCGTGTGCTGCCATGTGCTCTGTGCATGCTGCCGCATGCTCTGTGTGTGCTGCCATGTGCTCTGTGCATGCTGCCTTGTGCTCTGGGCGTGTTTGCCGCGTGCTCTGTGCATGCTGCTGCACCTGTGGCCCCTGTGCTTTTGCTTCTGCTGCCACCACCACGCCCCTTGACCCCTGTGGCCTGCAGGAGATGACGCCGTCCTGGGGAGGCTGCTCAGGGCCCAGGAGTGGGGCGCAGGCGTGCCCATCGAGTACTCGGCCTTCCTGACCCGCTGCTTCGTCTGCCGTGTGCGCTGCCTGCTAGACAGCACCTCAGGCTTCCTGGTGAGTTTGTGGGTCCCTGGCAGGAGGCTCCTGACATCTGGGGTGCGTTCCACCTTGGTATGGAAGGAAACAGGGCGAGAGGAGGTGGGGGCATTAACCCACATGTCCCTGGTGGAGGGGTGAGGGCCAGGCACTGAGCTCTGTGCACAGCACGTGGCCTTGATGCTTCTGGGCATGCAAGGGATGCCTGATGAGTCAACCGTGAGGCCTGCTGTGGTGGTCAAGCCAGGTCGATGAAAATGTAAAACTCTGCAGTAGGTTTATACTCTAGGTGTACCTTTATTTAAAACTTATTAAAATATCTCTTAAAATGTGCCCTACATAGGCTGGGCACGATGGCTCAACGCCTGTAATCCCAGCACTTTGGGAGGCCGAGGCAGGCGGATCTTGAGGTCAGGAGTTTGAGACCAGCCTGACCAACATGGTGAAACTCTATCTCTACTAAAAATACAAAAATTAGCTGGGCATTGTCGTACATGCCTGTAATCCCAGCTATTCAGGAGGCTGAAGCAGGAGAATAGTTTGAACCTGGGAAGCAGAGGTTATAGTGAGCTGAGATCAAGCCACTGCACTCCAGCCTGGGTGACAGAGCGAGACTGTCTCAAAAAAAAAAATAAATAAATAAATAAAAAAGAGCCTCCAGCTGTGGCTGGTGTGAGTGGCTGAGCCCACAGCTTCTGCTGAGCTTTGTGGTTTTACCCTCTTCTCTTGCAAACAGATACTTGTGATTTTTACTTCTGCTATTTGACCATTTCCTCTTCTAGCTCCTCAATGAATTAGAGAAGTCCCCCCCCCTCAGACATGTCAGGGCAAAGATTTCCCACCCTGTCCCAGACCTCTGCCCACCTTGTGGACCCGAGGCATCTGCCTATCTACAGCCCCTATGCCCTGGGTCGCAGCCCCTGAGAGCCCCAGTGGTGGCCTCTGCTGTCCTCCTGGCTGCAATTCAATGCCACAAGGCCCTCTGACCTCAGCACCCTAGCAGGGCAGGCCCCTTGGGCTCAGCTTTCCACCAATTTGTGGACCCGTGACCTTCTGGGGACCTCGGGTGCAGACCATCATCACAGCAGAGGCACCTGTGGGTCTGCATGTGTCTGTGTCTTTCCCACCCACTGGGCACCTTGTGGAAGGACCAGCTCTCTGCAGTCCCCAGATCTGTTGCCACACACACGCCCCAAGGCGCATCTTTCATTTATAAAGGTAGATAGTGACAATAAAGCCTTTAATTTTGGTATTTTGTTCTAAATTTTGTGGACATTAAGATACTTTTATTGGCTATAGACTGTTGTTCATTTAAAAAAATTATATAACCAATTATTGGTTAATTAAAAACTCTTATTTCTAGATGACACAAAATTAGAAGGATTTTACTGTGTAGCTGCTGAAATACAGCCACACCAAGACCCCGCACAACACCACGGCTCTTCCCAGCTTTAACCCTGAGTGGTGTAGCCTGGGCAAAGCGGGTGTCATGGGAACTCCCTCATGCCACCCACAGGGCCAACTGTGAAAATGCTAGTTTTCAGATTCAGGTTAAGTTTACTTGAGAGCTTGAAATCAGCCACATTGAGAATATTTATACTAAAGAAATTGGCAAACAGTGCTTATTGGAGAATTTTCCCCCTGGAGAGCTAGATATTAAACATTTCCCAACACACCCCTGCCTCGAATCCCTCATACCAATTGTGGGACGGCTACGTAGTAGGTGTTTGTTACTTGTTTAATAAATCCATGGAAATATGGAAAGATGAATGGGTGGGTGGATGGATGGACAGATGGATGGATGGATGGGAAGATCAATGGATGGATGGATGGGAAGATAGGAAGATGGATGGATGAATCGATGGGAAGATGGATGGATAGGTGGATAGATGGATGAATGGAAAGATGGATAGATGGACAGATGAGTGGATGGACAGATGGATGGGTGAGTGGTTTGATGGATGGATGGGTAGACACATAGATGGGTGGATGGATGGCTAAACAGATGGATAGATGGGTAGATAGATGGATGAAAGATGATGGATGGACAGATGGGTGAGTGGATGAGAAGATAGATGTATGGAAATATGGATGGATAGACTGGAAGATAACAGATGCATGGAAACACAGATAGATGGGTGGATGGATGAATGAATGGATGGATGGAAACATGGATAGATGGATGGGTGGATGGATGGATGGAACCATGGATGGATGGATGGGTAGGTGGATGGATAGGTGGGTAGATGGATAGATGAATGGGTGGATGGATGGATGGGAAGATGATAGATGGATGGGTGGGTGGATAGATGGATGAATGAGTGGGTAGATGGATGGGTGGGTGGATGGATGGATGGGTGGGTAGATGGATGGGTAGGTGGATGGATGGGTAGGTAGATGGATAGGTGGGTGGATGGATAGATGAATGGGCAGATGGATGCATGGGTGGATGGATGGGAAGGTAGATGGATGGGTGGATGGATAGATGAATGGGTGGGTGGATGGATGGGTGGGAGGATGGATGGGAAGGTAGATGGATAGATGGATGGGATGATGGATGGGAAGATGATGGATGGGATGGATGGACAGGTGGATGGATGGGATAGATAGATGGGTGGATGGATGAAAAGATGGATTGTTGGGTGGATAGATGGATGGATGGAAAAATAGATGGATGAAAAAAGGATAGAGAGAGAGAGTGATGCCACATTGTGAGGTCATCCTTCCATGGAAGGCAGGAGTACTCTGAAGGCCCTTGGTAAATAACTAAATTATACATCAGCCTTTCTTTTGTAGAGAGATATTTTATTTTCTTTTATAACAAACTCCTAGGTTACTTGCTGGCTTTTAAAGTCAAACTGTACGCCCTAGATAAATAAAATCAAGTTGTGCCTAAATGTTATTAAAATGAAGGATTAATAATTTGGAATGGAATATTAAAGCTCAAACAGTGCTCGGAGATCATCCATCCCTGCAGATTCCTGCTGGGCGTTGGCCAGTGGCCTGACTGTGGGTGGCGGGGGAGCGGCACACACATGAGCATGATTCAGTGCACATGTGGGAACGTACCTGTCAATTAGAGGCGACGCGGCGACTCCAGAGAAACCCACGAATCACTGTACAGGCTGTGGGGTCACAGCTCGGCAGCTGCAGCTCTGCTCTCCTGAGCCCTCATGGTGAGCTGCCTCCCTGCAAATTCCAGCTGCTGTGGTGCTCTTGAGTTCTGTGTCCCATGACCACCTTGCTGGGGTACTTTGTGAACATGCCTTCCTCTCTCTCTTTAAAACACCAGACGATGCAGTTTCAAGGGAAACTAAAATTCCTGTTTGGACAGAAGAAGAAGGCGCCCTCAGGGGCGGTGCTCCCACCGCGGCTGTCGCTGTTCTGCGTTGTGGCACCGGTTCTCCTTCCCTCCGCAACTGAGATGAAAATGAGGAGTGCGCTTCTGAGGGCCAAGCCCAGGGCTGACTCTGCGGCGCCCACGGATGCAAAGTGAGTAAGACTCGCCCTTCACAGCCACGTGGCGCCTGCTGGTGGCCTCCACGCTCAGTGTCTTCTTTCTTCATTTCCAGCCAGTAATAAACTAACAAGTGTTCTGTTTTTAAAGTCATTACACGACCCAGGCAGCAACGATGAGATTAAATGTTTTCAAACTCGTATTTGCAAACTGGCACCAAACGTTGCCTGTTTTGATTCATTCCCAAGTCGCCCTGTTACAGAACCAGTTTCAGAATAAGCGCCCTGACCCTGTGTCCTCAAGGGGACAGAAGGTTGGCTGTGGCCTCTGCCTTTCTCCACTGCTCAGCTGCCCCTTCTTCGCACAGTCTGTCCATGGACAAGTGGAGGTTGTTCCTGGCTGCAACAGATGCCAGAGAAATACGTCCCTGGTGGGCAGACGGAGGGTCAATGGCACAGCTGCCCCTCCAGCTGGTCCTCGTCCCTGGCCAACCCAGTCCTATCCCAGCGCTTTGTCAGCCTTTCCGAAATAGAAAACACCCAATTGGTCCTCGACCTTGTTGGCGCTAGGGACCAGTTTTGTGGAAGACAATTTTTCCATGGACTGGGAGTAGGGGGGTTGTTTTTGAATGATTCAAGCACATTTTCTTTCCATGCATTTCATTTCTGTTTTTATTACATTGTAATATATAATGAAATCATTATACAACTCAGCGTAATGTAGAATCAGTGGGAGTCCTGAGCTTGTTTTCCTGCACCTAGGCGGTCCAACTTGGGGGGAGGTGATGAGAGACAGTGACACATCATTGAGCATTGGATTGTCATAAGGAGCTTGAAACCTAGGGCCCTCCCACGCGCAGTTCACACTAGGGTTCAAGCTTGTGTGAGAATCTAATGCCTCAGCTGAGCTGACAGGAGGCGGTGCTCTCGCCCACCGCTCATCTCCTGCTGTGCAGCTTGGCTCCTGGAGGCCACGGATGGTACCAATCTGTGGCGTGGGCATTGGGGACCCCTGCCGTAGGGGAGTTTCCTAGATTCCGTTAAGGCTGTCTTGTGTGCTGGGAGAGATGTAAATGCTGTGTATATAGAAACTGTGTATCCCACAGGTGGGGAAGACACCAGTGATGGGCTGGGGCAGCCGGGATGCCAGAGACCCGACTTCACCTCAGTGACCTGGACAAGTCACTGCTCCTGTCACTGCCTCCTCCTGGGACAGCCTGATGGGAGGGAGAGGGGCTGAGTGCAGGGCGGAGGGGTGGTCAGGGCTGGCCCTGCACCCTGGCCCTCGGCTCCCTGAGGCCCTTGGCTGCTGTCAAGGTGCTCCTGCTCTGTGACTTTGAGACACCCAGCTTGTCCTGCTCAGCCTCTCAGCGCTGCACGCAGGCCCTGGTAACCAAGTGCAGCTCAGCCTGCCTGCGATCCTGCAGCTGCTCTTGGGCAGCCCACTTTGTTCATGGCCTCCCCGCTCTGCGGGCAGCAAATACTGAGCTGGAAGGAAATCTTAGCTTGCCATCCCAGTAGGAATCTCCGCCATAGCACCCAGGAGTGATTGGCTGAGGCTGCATGAACCCCACACACAGAAAACATTGCTGGGTTCAGACAGAACCTTGAGAGCAGATTCATCCTGGTGTGACTTGAATCTCACTGCCTGGCATTGCCACCGTCCTGTCTTGGCCGAGTGCTCTGTGCTCGGTTTACCTTGCCCCAGGTTCTGGTTTCCAGATACTTCCTGATTCCTACACTTCTCCTCTGTGCATGGACAGTGTTGGGGGGACGTTCGCAGCAGGTGGAGCAGTGTGGACTGCAGATGTCCCCACCCTGTTTAAGAGCTGCCTTTACTATGTGCCAGCTGCAGCAGGCACCTTAGGGCGACCCTAAGTTGCAGTGATGTGGGTCGCCTTGTAGTCTGACTTTGGATTTCGACCTGCGTTCCTTAACTTTTGTTAGTATTAAATTTCATTCTTTTAGATGCAATCTTGATTGACCTTGTCAGGGTCCAGGCTCCTGAGCTAGTTTGAGATCTGGGACTCAGCAGCACCCACCACACTGCTCCTCCCATTCCCTGGCACCTTTGGCAGGCCAATGCGCCCTCTGTATTCACACCCATGCCCTCTGTGGGAACGCCAGGACCTGCTGCTGAGCCCCTCTGCCCATCGGATCCCAGAGATACTGGGAGACCCCGTTATGCACCTGCTGACTTCCAGATGCAGAGGATGTGGCTGGGGGCCCTTTCACCCCAAGGGGCTGCGGAGGAGGACCTTGGAGGCTCTGGGACCCCTGCTCAGTGTCCAGGGCTGACCGAAGACCCCAAGGCCACCTTGCCAGCACTCACAGAACTCTCCGCTGTGGGCGTGACTTCCATCCTCACCTTTCACCTCTTTAAGATAACCATTTACACAGCTCTCCAGCCTGACGGTCATTTGAAGGCCTTCATGCCACGTTTCCGCCTTCGTTACTCATTTCTGCTCATGAGCAGCCTCTGCCTGCGCGCTGACAGCCCCACCTCACTGCTGCTGTCTGAGGGAGGACAGAGGGCAGCTTCGGGGACGGCCGGGACACGAGCCAGCCTGCTGAGGCCCACAGATCTCTGGAAGGTTTTTTGTTTGTTTGTTTTGAGATGGAGTCTTGCTCTGTCGCCCAGGCTGGAGTGCAGTGGCACAATCTTGGCTCACTGCAACCTCCGCCTCCTGGGTTCAAGTGATTCTCCTGTCTTAGCCTCCCGAATAGCTAGGACAGGCACATGCCACCACACCTGGGTAACTTTTTGTATTTTCAGTAGAAATGGGGTTTTACCGTGTTATCCAGGATGGTCCTGACCTCCTGACTTCGTGATCTACCTGCATCAGCCTCCCAAAGTACTGGGACTACAGGCGTGAGCCACCACGCCTGGCTTCTGGAAGGTTTTAAATTTATGTAGCTTCTTATTTTAAAGGATGGAAATGTAAATTGCAGGGGAGAAACACGGAATTCTAAAGAGAAAAGAAGTGAGTGCTACACCAACATACAGAAAGCCCAGGGTCCCTGCAGGGCTCTGGCCCAGGTCCTCCAGCACCTGCAGGAACCATGCAAACCCTGGACCACTCTTTACCTGGCTTGGTCTTTATATCAAAGGTGCACACCGCGAGCCTGGTCTTCCCTGTGAGTTCCCAGCCCTAGAAGCAGAGGGGACGAAGCCCCCTGGTGGCAGGGCAGGGCAGGGCAGGGCAGGCCTGGCCCCACTGCACCTTGCATGCCCACAGCCCTGTCCTGGCTGTCCCGGGGTGGAGCGCAGGTGTGCAACCACAGGCACAGGTGTGGGGCCGTGGGTCACAGTTCTCTTCTGGGGGCCTGGACGCTCGGACCCCTGTGGGGTCATGAGGGCAGGGTGGAGCACAAGGCACATAAAGCTGGCACACAACTTCAGCTCAACACACACGTTTTTAAAACTCAGAAGGGGGCTAGGCACAGTGGTTTACGCCTATAATCCCAGCACTTTGGGAGGCCAAGGCCGGTGGATCACAAGGTCAAGAGATCGAGACCATCCTGGTCAACATGGTGAAATCCCATCTCTACTAAAAATACAAAAATTAGCTGGGCATGGTGGCGCGTGTCTGTAGTCCCAGTTACTCGGGAGGCTGAGGCAGGAGAACTGCTTGAACCCAGGAGGCAGAGGTTGCGGTGAGCCGAGATCGTGCTATTGCACTCCAGCCTGAGTAACAAGAGCGAAACTCCATCTCAAAAAAACTCAGAAGGGGGAAAAAAACTTGCCAAGCCAAGAATGCTGACTCCCACCCACCCAAGGCTTTTGGAACTCTCACCACCTGCTCTGAGCTGGATTCAGAAGCCAGCTTACAGGGTACACCCTGTGGCCCACCAGCCCTAAGCACCACAGTGGTGTAAGATGCAACATGCACTCTGCAGAACCAGAGCCCCAAGGCAGTGGCAGCAGCCACCGTGGCCCCCTATGACTTCTGGCAGCCGCCAGCAGCCACCCAGTCTCCCACAGCTTTTCCCACTGGAGTTTTGTGACATGATCTTGATCCTGCTGTTCCTGAAGCCCATTCTGTGAATTCCTCTGCTCACTGTAATTCACTGGGACCCCCACATCAACACACCCTGTGCTTTGCAGCCATTCATGGACACACGTGGGGCACTGTGAGTCTCGTGCTGAACATGGTCCCTGCTCAGAGTTTGGTCCTGGCCCTCCTGGAGGTGCCCAGAGTACAGAGGGAAGGGCAGCTCGGGGGCCGTGGCCATGGGGCCAGTCAGATGGGCTTGAACCCAACTCTGGCACCTGCTGGTGGGGAAGCACCTTAACGCTTCTTTTGAAAAACAAAAGGAAATAGAATCTACCAGGGTGAGCTGTTAGGATTTCAGACTCGCATCACTGTGATGCGTATGTGGGCACACACACATTTCCAATGTGAGCTGGTCTTCACCACCTCCGTGTTCACTTTTTAGAACATAACTACCTGGAGTCAGGAGAACAGACTGTATTTTCTTTCTGGCCTTCCAGGAAACGACACTAGCTCTAAAAATCATCTATGACTTTATCCTTGTACTTTCTGAAGCAAATTCATGAGCCCTTCATTGGCCTGAAAAGTGACATGATTATTTTCAGTAAATCTATACCTGAGAAAATAACTTTCCAGGCTATAAAGAATTAAACAAGAGTGAGGGTTTCTGTCTTCACCACTGGGGTGCGACAGCAGTAATTTCTACCTCCGATGCATGTTTAATGTATGCATGTTAACCACACATCATCTTGCTGTTATCTGTGTTCTTCACAGAGTAAAGGCCACCATGAGTCTGTGCAAATCGGAACAGCATGGAAAACCCAATTACTCAGCAGGTACTTAGAACATTTCTATCTGATCTTTTCCACATGGGTAAAATGTGTTTCTGCTTCTTGGAGAGCTTCCCTGCCCGGCGGAGATGTGGCGTATTCCATGGAAAAGCCATTTTGCAGACTTGGTGTCTGTCCTGCTGTGGACAAGCACCGGTCCTGGGCTCTGGTGTGTGCATTTCTAAGCAGCTCAGTGGGTCCTGCCTTGCTGAGACCACGCAGCGGTCGTCCAGGAGCTCCTCACCTCACACGGTCATGGCTTCCTCCCCCTCTAAACCCCAACAGGAAGGAGCAGCAGAGAAAGCGGCATTTTGGTGCTCAGGGAACAGACTGACACTGGCCAATGGGCACAGGTTCCCGCCAGAGCCCCATGCCTCTGCCTCCGGGGCAGCCCTGACCTTGTCCTCAAACCCAAGCGGACCTCAAGGTAAGTGGTGCCAGGCAGACTTCCCCAGCCCCGGCAGCTCCCTAAGTCACTGTGGAGGCCCAAAGTAAGAGCGGGTGGGAGGAGTGATTATGAAGGACAAAAGATGGTAGCAGCCTCGACCACCACACGGGCCACAGCTGACCCTGCTCCCTGTGGAGCTGTCCACCCAGCTTCCCGGCTGGAAGTCATGCACATCGCTGCCGACTGACCCTGGGGAGCAGTGGCCCAGGGATGTCCGAGCTGAGGATGCCCCGTGGGCTCTGGCCGAGCTGCCTGGGCTCTGGGACCAGTCCTCACCTGTCGCCTAGAACCTGGGTCACTGGGATCCATCCTGAGCTTGCCTTTGCTCAGAGTCCTGTCTCCTCCCTCTCCCTCCCCAGGGCCTGCCTGCTGCCCAGGTGGGCCTCCCCCCTTTCCTGACCAGCCCAGCTGTGCATCACAGGCCCCTCCCCACCTTCCAGTTCATTGTCTTACAGTCACACAATGCCAGTCCTAATGTCATGCAGCATTCAGTCGGTCAGCAACAGGGCCTGGCCACAGAAATTGCTGGACACGGTGCTTTCTGCTTTGCAGTTCCATGGGGCCATTTGCACAGCCCTTCCCATTCCCATAGCTACTGACTGGTGTAGCTGACACTGCACAGGCGGCCTAGGCCTCACAGAGACCCCTCCCTAAAGCCTGTGCCCTCCCCTACCCTGGGCCCTCCTCACTCGCCCCAGGCACATGGGGCAGGGGTGGTGGGTGGGTTAGAGGGGACGGTGCGGAGTGGGGTCAGTGTAGCAGCCCCAGCAGGTTTAGCATCGTCCTAATGTAGTAGCCTCCCTTAGAGACCCCCACCCAAGGCGGCCAGACCTCGTGTCTTCAGCAACTGTCAAATGGGCACCCTTTCTCTGCAGGGACAGGGAGGAGCAGCAGCAGAGGGTGCTGAGCAGGGCCTCTGGAGCTTCAGGGCGGAGGGAGACACCGGGACCCACAAAGCCCCTGCCCTGGATGGCAGGAAGGCGCAGTGAGGATGGTGCCCGGCCGAAGGTGCAGCCCAACCAGAGTGGCCTACTCTCCCTGCGCCCCACGTCCCATGGCTCCTGCCTGCCCTACCCATGTGTCCAGGGCACTTTCAATGCCAGTAGCTCGGGCACATTCAGGAACTTGCCCATCTCTCAGCCGCCAAGCCCACCCCCCAGTGCCCACGCCATCCGGACCAGCAGAGCCTCGTGGGATGTCTGTGAGGACCAGGTGCACCCTCCTCTCTGCCACTTTCCCCAGGGGAGCCTGCAGCACCCTCAGCCTGAAACTCAGCATTTGGCCTCAAGGGGCTACACCACAGAGGACGGGAAGCTGCGAGGCGTGCAGATGCCTCCAAGGGGCCTGTGCAGCCCGACGCTGCTGTTAGATGTGCCCATCAAGATGGAGAAGGACTCTGGGTCTGAGGATGCTGCCCATGGCTGCATGCCCAGCCAGGTGTGGGGGCTGGGGGCTGGGGACAGGAGCCGTCTGGTCACCTTCCCTACCAGGATGCCCCTGAAGACAGAGCCAGACTCCCTGCACCAGGTCTACACTGCACACCTCGGGCATGGCGTGTTGGGGGCTCAGCCCCAAGGCAGGGCCACTATGGGGCGCAGCAGGGAGCTGGCCACTTTCCACCCTGCACACTGTGCACGCCTGGAACCCACACACAGCCTTCCCCAGCTGGAGCCTCCCCACCAGCTCTGCGCACGGGGCCGAGGTGAACTCTCCTCCCTGCCAAGCTGCACCTGCAGAGCTGCTGAGACCGCCCCTGTGGTCAAGCGCGAGCCACTGGACTCGCCCCCGTGGGCCACTTACAGCCAGGGAAGGGCGCCTGGGATGTTTCCCAAAAGTGCCTTGGCGACGCTGGTCCCACCCCAAGCCTCAGAGTGCACATTCCTGCCGTAGCGCGGTGACCAAGCTCGGATCCATCAGTCAACGCTCAGATGTGCCAGTGGCTGGGCTGCCCCTGACCTGGTCAGGTCGGAGCCCTTCCTAAGAAATGCTCTGCAGAGCCGCACGTGCACAGTCCCTCCCCTTGTCTGTGTGCGCAGCCTACACAGCAGCGTATCCCAAATTTTATAAAATATCTCAACCATTCTTAAATGCGAACTGGCCTTAAGTCTACTCAGGCATGTTAGCACTTCTCTTTGAGGAATTAAAATCTTTAATAAAGTGGTCACGGCTGGGTCGTGCCTGAGAGGCAGGGAGTGCCGTCCCACTGCTGCCAAGTCCACAGTCAGGGAAGCTGTGGGGGGGGGCGCTTCTAGCTCAGCCCTCCCTGGCCACCTGCAGCTTCCGGCCTGTGCTGTGCAGGCAGCGTCAGCCTCACTGGAGTGCGCTGCAGAGGCCAGCACCCGGCAAATTAGAAATACACCTCGCGGAGAAAGGGGCTGTGAGCCCACTCACGGAGGAATCTAGAATGCTCCAGGCAGCAGAGGCTGGCAGCGCTGGGTCCCACACTGCCCTGCGCTGTGCAGCAGGTGCTCCGTGGCGCCAAGACAGAGTCTGAGGCCAGGTCTGGACTAGAAACGGGCAGGGTAACACCTGTTCCTTCTGGACATCTCCCGTGTTCTTAATGTGTCTCTGCAGATGGTTCTTACTAATCTGCCTCTTGGTACATCATGCAATACAGAGTTCACAGACCTGAGTTTGGAAGTACAAAGAAACACACAACGTAGAGAAAAGACATCGGAGACCGCGCTGTCTGTGGGGTTTTCCTCCCTGTCTGGCTGTCTCTATAGTTCACTCAGATGAGGGTTCCCATGGCCATTCTCGGAGAATAATTAGGGACAAGATGGACAAGTACTAATAACATTAAAACAGCTGTAAAGGCAATATATTCTGAGGGTAGGAAATGTGGATACAAAAGCAAAGTCAGAAAGTCAAGGTCACCGGTCCACCAACCCGAGATAACTTACGGCTGACGGTGCAGTTCAGGCTTCTTCAATGCTGCACCCAGCTGGTGCAGGCACCACATCAGGGTGTAGAAGTCGCCACCAAGCAGGAGGAAGCCGTGGCATGAGGCCCCTCTCCTCAGGGACGTCAGCTCCACTGGGAGAGCCCTCGGGGTGAGGGACCCACCATCCCATCGCACTGCGCATTCTGCCTCCTGCGTGGACTCCCCCTCGTCGGTGGCTTTGGAGTGTCACTGTTTAGCCCCTGGTTTAATGGTGAAGCCATTTGTTAAATGCACCTTCACTTTGTCAGAACCCAGGTTTGGTTGGTGGGACTGGGTCTTCTGCCCATTGCCAGGTGCCTGCACCCCTCAGCAGCCTGGTTCTGGGATAGTTTACCCCACGTGGCAGGGATAGGGATAAGGTTCTCTTCCCAGAACTGAAAGAGGAAGGCCAACCACCCGAGCCCAGAGTCACAGATCCAACGTGGCCTCCTGTGACTCCCAAGCCCTGCCGATGGGCCACTCATTCTGCTTAGACACGGGGCGCCTTTCAAAAGGTGACCTTGGTGCTGTGCTGTCGTGGGCATGAGATGTGCTCATGGCATTCCACTCCCATCTCCCCCTTACCTGATGCCTAGACTCACGATGACGGCAGAGCTACACAGGGGCCAGCCACGGGGTGACCAGCCACCTGAGGGCCAGTCACCTGTGAGGACCACATGTGAGGACAGGCCCCTACTTCCCACCTTGGCCCCTCACTGCCCAGAGCTCTCTTTATTCATTTCTCATGCTGAGCATGGCACACCTCTGGTCTCTGGGCATTTATGGATTTAAGACCAGGATGGTATTTTGGAAGCTTCCCACTGCCTTTCTATTCTAACCAAGTGCCCAGTTCCTTTCCTGATCATGGAAAGACCCTTAATAATTAGACCTGCAGGCCAGGCGCAGTGGCTCATGCCTATAATCCCAGCATTTTGAGAGGCTGAGGAGGGAGGATCACTTAAGCCCAGGAGTTCAAGACCAGCCTGGGCAACATAGCAAGAACTTGTCTCACAGAAAATAATTAAAAATCAGATGTGCTGTATCCCTGAAAACGTCTCAATCAACATGCATATTCCACTCCTGGAGTTCCCTGTCCTGAGGGCTGGCCATGTCCTGCCTTCTGGGGCTCAACCCTCAGCACCTCCCTTTAGCCTGGGCGCTGCCTGGGTCCCAAGAGTGGCAGCTGCCCTTCCAGTCTCAGGGCTGAGGTGGGCAGGGAGCTCAGTGACTGACAGTCTTGCATGTGTATCACAGGGCTCGAGTGTCCTGGAACCAATGGCTGTCACTGGGAAAAACAGCAGGCCCCAAAGATGGAATCAGATGTGGCTTTGCATTTGCCACTCAGTGCCATCAGAGCAGTACAGACACAGCCCCTGCCCAGGAGGCTCCTTCACCACGTCCTGCTGTGCACCTCCCAGACCTTCAGACACATCCCCATCCAAGGCCCTCCCGGTGACAGATTGCGTAGCCGTGGCTGCTGTGCAGACACTACGCTCAGCACACAGGTGTCAGCTCTGTAGGTCTTGTGGTGTGAGGACCCCACAGGAGGCTGCGGCTCTTGAGTGCCTGGGACCAGCAGGGTGTCCAATGTCCCTTCCTCGGTGGCAACAAAAACTACCTGTCAGCACTTCTGTCATTTTATAGCCACACCCCTCTTGGAAAACTGTGGGGAAGATGATGGAACACAGAAGGTGCGGACGTGGTCATTTCTCTTGTTAGCACTAATTACAAGTTCATGTTTTTCTGTTTATGTAGCTTTTCCCTATACAGCTGAAAAAGTATTAAAGTCAAGTGTAATGTGGGATGGAAGGGAGGAGATAAATACAGCTTATATTTTATATTTTTGCAGTTTCTACTGGAAGAAAAAAGTTTTCAATACCTAGACTAACGTGTTAAATTTTTAAAACGTATGCACTATAACTGCAGCTTTCTCAGTGCCTTTCGGAAGCTTTCAAATACTTTTTGTACTGTGGTTTGTATTAAATTTGCAATATTGATATAAAATATGACATGCTAGTACATGTTTAACATAAATTGAAATGTCTGCATTTTCCTAATGAAGTCACTTTATTTCCTTTAAAGGGTGTGCTGGTTAATTTACCTTCTAAAGCAGCCTTTCACCACAAAAGGCAGCAATAAAAATAAAAACTCTAGAGCTACAAGCCTCCCGAAAGAGGAGGAAGTACCTGCCGTTTCCCTGCTGCTGCCCAGAAGGTCTAGGCCCCTCTCCCCTGTCACTGAGGGTCAGGGACCCTCCCAGGTGCTCTCAGGACGCCCCAGAACTGACCTGTTAAGTGAGGAAGGTAGAGCTGAGGGCATTGTGGGTTGGGGGCCAGGTGGTGTCCACCCTGCCCCATGCACAACAGGCCCATGGCAAGGGGGCGGCAGGGTCACTGGCCCAGGCAGATTGTGGCCAGATGCCTCCTCCCCGAATGCCATAAAAAAATTGCTGGGGCCTCCTCAAGCACAGATGGCAGCCCAAGGCCCATGGAACTGCTTCTGTTTCCTCTCAGGCACCTTTAGAGTCCTAGCAGCCCCTGCCAGGCCTCCTTTGCACCCTGTCCTGGTCACTGGTGTAAGACTCCCATGTCCTCCCCGGAGACCAGGCCAGCCCTCCCATCGGTGGCTCCATACCTTAGCCCATCCCTCCCCCCATGCCCTCTCCTCTGTGGCCTCTGGCAGATGGAGTTCCCACATTTTCACTCCTCACCCCCAGTCTGGCTTCTGCTGAGTGAGCCTGCATGGAGTTAGGATGAACACAATTTTTTTTTTTTTTTTGAGATGGAGTATCACTCTGTCACCCAGGCTGGAGTACAGTGGTGTGATCTTGGCTCACTGCAGCCTCCACCTCCCAGGTTCAAGTGATTCCCCCACCTCAGCCTCCAGAGTAGCTGGGACTACAGGCATCCACCACCATGTCCGGATAATTTTTGTATTTTTAGTAAAGGCTGGGTTTCACCATGTTGGCCAGGCTGGTCTCAAACTCCTGGCCTCATGTGATCAGCCCACCTCAGCCTCCCAAAGTGCTGGAATTATAGATGTGAGCCTAATTGCCGGACACATGCAATTTCATCTCACCAGGCGCTGCCCAGAAGAGGGGCTTCACCCACTTGGTCTCCCTCCTACCTCCCCATCTCCCGGGCTCCCATCCTACCCAGGCCTGGCACCTGTGTGGACAGACATTTTCAGTCCTGGGCTTCTGAAGGGTTGAAACGGCAGTTTTATGTGTGATTCGTTCACGCAGCATTTTTTAATCCCTGTTAAATATCAGGCCCTGCCGCAGTGCTGCAAACACAATCGGGAGAAAACATGCAGACGTCAGTGGTATCCCAGAGCTGGTGTCTGCAGGTGTGTGCTGTGCCGTGTGTGCGTCCGTGCAAGGGGTGCAGGCAGCTGAACGTGACCATGAGAACCCTGTCAACTTTGTGACGCAGGGAGGGGCCAGTGCTTTGCAGGTGCACAGAGCTGGGGTTGGGGGTGCCCCAGGTCTTTGGGGCAGTTTTATGCGGGACATATGCAGGGCTGGAGCTGAACGGCGAGTTGGGGAGGCAGCATGGCCACAGTGAGATCTGAGTGACAACACAGCAGGGCGTGGGTGGAGACGCCCTGGTCGGGGCTCAAAGGCTTGAGCTGAGCCCCGTGAGGAGGGTGCAGGGACGAGGTCTCCCTGAGGAAGGCCAAGGGAGGCAGCTTATTCCCCGGAGCCAAAGGCTCTTGTCCTTTACCCATTTCTTGCTGCACTTGTTTCCCTTTTGGATTAATCTGCAGGAGTTCCGCTTCTACTCTGGATAGCAATCTTTTGTCAGTTACAGATGTTGACAAGGTTTTCCCTCAGTCTGTGGCTTGGCTTCTCACTTAAGGATTTAAAAAATATATCCCACGAGAGTTAAAAATTTTAGTTTAGCAAATGTCACATCGCCACACCAGCTTCTCAGGCCTCGCTGGCCCAGAAGGGAAAAGCCTCCAGCTCTAATCGTGTTTCTCGATGCTTCAGATGCTCTCCTATGAATGTGTCAGCTTCTGACGCACTTACCTGTGTTCACGTTACGGACACATTTGAACACAGGGTCCTCCTCATTGCCTGAATTTTCTTTTTTCTTTTTTTTTTTTGAGACGGAGTTTCGCTCTTGTTACCCAGGCTGGAGTGCAATGGCGCCATCTCAGCTCACCACAGCCTCCACCTCCAGGATTCAGGCAATTCTCCTGCCTCAGCCTCCTGAGTAGCTGGGACTACAGGCGCACCACCATGCCCAGCTAATTTTTGTATTTTTAGTAGAGACGGGGTTTCACCATGTTGACCAGGATGGTCTCGATCTCTTGACCTCGTGATCCACCGCCTCGGCCTCCCAAAGCGCTGGGATTACAGGCCTGAGCCACCGCGCCCGGCCCATTGCCTGAATTTTCTATTTCTGCAGTGGCTAACCTTCATTTGCGCACTAAGAAGGTCTACGGAGGAGCCAAGCACGGTCTCCATTCTCCCAGAGCAGGGCCAGGGCTGCGGGCGCGCCGGTGCCTCCCTCCCTCCCGCTCAAGTCCGCTCCGGCCCAGGTGGAGGAGGGTCTCTCCGGCAAGGTCCCCGGGTCCGCTTCCGCCGAGCGCTGAGCTTCCCTGGCCCACCCTTTCACTGCGGACGCACCGCCCAGAGCACCTGCGCATTACTCGGAAGTCTCCGTCCGCCTCCCGGCTGCTGGAGCCTTAGCTTCAACCTCCGTCCCGCTTCGGGACCTGCCGCTACCTCACGCCCTACGCCACCGCCGCCTGCGAGTCCCGCACTCAGGACCCGGCTCTCGTCCTTCCGGCGCCTCGACGGAAGCGGAAGTTCCCGCGCGCCGTCCACTTCCGGCCGGGACTCCCGAGGCGGCGGCGGCGCAGAGGGTGAGGCAGCTACAGGTGCCGACGGCCCTCGGCTCCCCGGGCGGTGGTCGCCGTCTTTCATCCTCGCTCTCCCAGTCTCTGGCTTCCGCGGGGGCGCGTAGGGGGAGGCCGGGCCGAGGCCCGGAGGGCGGGGAGGCGGTTCCGGACCCCGTGGTGTATCCTGCTCGTGCGAGTGTCCTCGGCGCAGGTGCCCTTTTGGCGGAGGTGTCCCCCAGGCGCAGGTGTCCCCCCCCAGGCGCAGGTGTCCCACCCCAGGCGCAGGTGTCCCCCCCCAGGCGCAGGTGTCCCACCCCAGGCGCAGGTGTCCCCCCCCCCAGGCACAGGTGGCCTTCCTGGTACAGGTGTCCCTCCTGGCACAGGTGTCCTCCCAGTTGCAGGGGTACCCCCAGCGGAGCTGTCCCCTCCGTGAGGTGCCCCCAGAACAGGTGTTCCCCCCCAGTGCAGGTGTCCCTTCTGTGAAGTGTCCCCTTGGTGAGGTGCTCCCAAGCACAGGTGTTCCCCTAAGCGCAGGTGTCCCCTCTGTGAAGTGTCCACAGCACAGGTGTTCCCCTCAACACAGGTGTCCCCTCTGTGAAGTGTCACCTCGGCGAGGTGCCCGTCAGCACAGGTGTCCCCTCTGTGAGGTGTCCCCTGGGCGAGGTACCCCTCAGCCCAGGTGTTCCCCTCCATGCAGGTGTCCCTTCCGGTGGAGGTGTCTGCCTGGCAGAGGTGTCACCCCCACTTCTTGCGAGGTGTTCCCCTCAGCACAGGTGTCCTCCGGTGAGGTGCCCCCCCCCCACCCAGCGTAGTTGTCCCCCTGGGTGCTGATGTTCCCTTCAGTGGGGTGTCTCGCCCTCTGTGGAGTCTCACGACTGAGCCAGCACCAGGGGAAGGCAGTCAGAAGGGCCCTAGTAGGGGTCGGACCTGGTCTCTGTTTATGGCCTCCGAGTTCCTCTTTTGCTTCTGTGACCCAATCTTCAGGCTGGGATGGAAACCTCTGTGGTGTGTTTTTTACCTTCAGATTTTCGCTTTTCCCACATGAGTAGCTTTGTTGTGAATCCAAGGTGAGCTCTGCTGCACTAGCTCTCCACCCACATCACCTTGGCTCCCGACTGTCCTTTACCTGCACCGTGACAGACTCGACTCCAGCTTTGGGATGGGTCCAGCCACCTCACTGTGCGCACCAGCAGAATGGCTGGATGTCCACTTCCTGGGCTATTATCTAGCCCTAGGATCCAGATCACACAGGCTTTCATGTCAGTGGAAATGCTGACGATAATGTCCGAACAAAGGAAGAAAGCGAAAGCACGAACCCACAAAGTCATAGGAGCGGTGGGACCTTCGCTTAAAGAGAAACCCAAGGGGGAAGAACAAAGGCTGCAAGGAAACACGCCCGGTTGGACAGCTGCCGCGGGATGGTGGGATTTGAGGGGAGCTGCCGCGGGATGGTGGGATTTGAGGGGAGCTGCCCCGGGATGGTGGGATTTGAGGGGAGCTGCCCCTGGATGGTGGGATTTGAGGGGAGCTGCCCCTGGATGATGGGATTTGAGGGGAGCTGCCCCTGGATGATGGGATTTGAGGGGAGCTGCCCCTGGATGATGGGATTTGAGGGGAGCTGCCCCTGGATGATGGGATTTGAGGGGAGCTGCCCCGGGATGGTGGGATTTGAGGGGAGCTGCCGCGGGATGGTGGGATTTGAGGGGAGCTGCCCCGGGATGGTGGGATTTGAGGGGAGCTGCCCCTGGATGATGGGATTTGAGGGGAGCTGCCCCTGGATGATGGGATTTGAGGGGAGCTGCCCCTGGATGATGGGATTTGAGGGGAGCTGCCCCTGGATGATGGGATTTGAGGGGAGCTGCCCCTGGATGATGGGATTTGAGGGGAGCTGCCCCTGGATGATGGGATTTGAGGGGAGCTGCCCCGGGATGGTGGGATTTGAGGGGAGCTGCCGCGGGATGGTGGGATTTGAGGGGAGCTGCCCCTGGATGATGGGATTTGAGGGGAGCTGCCCCGGGATGGTGGGATTTGAGGGGAGCTGCCGCGGGATGGTGGGATTTGAGGGGAGCTGCCCCGGGATGGTGGGATTTGAGGGGAGCTGCCGCGGGATGGTGGGATTTGAGGGGAGCTGCCCCGGGATGGTGGGATTTGAGGGGAGCTGCCCCTGGATGATGGGATTTGAGGGGAGCTGCCTCTGGATGATGGGATTTGAGGGGAGCTGCCCCTGGATGATGGGATTTGAGGGGAGCTGCCCCTGGATGATGGGATTTGAGGGGAGCTGCCCCTGGATGATGGGATTTGAGGGGAGCTGCCCCTGGATGATGGGATTTGAGGGGAGCTGCCCCGGGATGGTGGGATTTGAGGGGAGCTGCCGCGGGATGGTGGGATTTGAGGGGAGCTGCCCCTGGATGATGGGATTTGAGGGGAGCTGCCCCGGGATGGTGGGATTTGAGGGGAGCTGCCGCGGGATGGTGGGATTTGAGGGGAGCTGCCCCTGGATGGTGGGATTTGAGGGGAGCTGCCCCTGGATGGTGGGATTTGAGGGGAGCTGCCCCTGGATGATGGGATTTGAGGGGAGCTGCCCCTGGATGTTGGGATTTGAGGGGAGCTGCCCCTGGATGATGGGATTTGAGGGGAGCTGCCCCTGGATGGTGGGATTTGAGGGGAGCTGCCGCGGGATGGTGGGATTTGAGGGGAGCTGCCGCGGGATGGTGGGATTTGAGGGGAGCTGCCCCCGGATGATGGGATTTGAGGGGAGCTGCCCCCGGATGGTGGGATTTGAGGGGAGCTGCCCCCGGATGGTGGGATTTGAGGGGAGCTGCCCCCGGATGGTGGGATTTGAGGGGAGCTGCCCCTGGATGATGGGATTTGAGGGGAGCTGCCGCGGGATGGTGGGATTTGAGGGGAGCTGCCCCCGGATGGTGGGATTTGAGGGGAGCTGCCCCCGGATGATGGGATTTGAGGGGAGCTGCCCGTCGATGGTGGGATTTGAGGGGAGCTGCCCCTGGATGTTGGGATTTAAGGGGAGCTGTTCCTGGATGGTGTTATTTGAGGGGAGCTGCCCCTGGATGTTGGGATTTGAGGGGAGCTGCCGCGGGATGGTGGGATTTGAGGGGAGCTGCCCCCGGATGGTGGGATTTGAGGGGAGCTGCCCCTGTATGTTGGGATTTAAGGGGAGCTGTTCCTGGATGATGGGATTTGAGGGGAGCTGCTCCTGGATGGTGGGATTTGAGGGGAGCTGCTCCCGGATGGTGGGATTTGAGGGGAGTCACCCCTGAGTGGTGAGATTTCAGAGGAGTTGTCTCTGGCGTCTTCGTATCTTTGTCCTGATTTTCTACATTGGAATGCCTAATCTCATCATGAGAAAATAAAGAGAAAGGAAAAGTTGCAATGTAGCTCCAGATGAAACAGGAGAAGAGAGGTGTCTGAAAGCATGTGGGCATGGAGAATGAAAAATTCCAGGAGAAGGTGGATATTTTTAATATTCATGAAGATGAAAACAATAGCCAAAGTCAAGGGGAACAGGTGTCTCAGATTCCTGCATTGACCAGATGCTCACCAGGCAGCCCTCTTAGCTCCCGAGGAGGACGATGGTGGTGTGAGCGTGGAAGGCAGGCTTGCCTGGCATCTGAGCACCTGTGGTCCTCACGAGATCTGCGCAAAGAGGGATGCATGATGTTTTCTAGGGCCGTTAAAAAGGGGGAGATGGGATTTTGGATGCCCAAGACAATGGTGACTTTTATAGGGGCTTGTGGGGCTTGTGCTGGGCTTCTGACTGTGGGGCCTGGTCGGGGGAGATGCCCATGCTGTACTTGTCTTCACTGAGTCCTGGTGCAGTTGCCCACAGGCCTGGCCAAGGTGTTGGGGAAAGGTGCAGTTGCCCACAGGCCTGGCCAAGGTGTTGGGGAAAGGCTCTGGAAAGGAGAAATTAGCCCTGTCTTGGGCAGAGATGTGCCTTGGAGTCTGACATCTACATGGTGGGTGGCCTGTGACCCACATCTAGAATCTTCCAAATGTCCCTGTCTCTCCTGCCCGCTCTTCTCTTAAAGGTATAACTTCCCATGTTTGGGTTACAAAGGTCCACTTATCTTAAGGAGTTCCTAATCCTAGTTCAGCTTTCCTTCAGGTTTTCTGGAGGAATGATCCCAAACGCTCCCCTTGTAGCTCCATTGTGAGCACCCGGTTGTCTGAGGGAGGTTTGTATCTAACATTCCTACCTTTCTAACAACCCCTGCAGTGCACACAGAATACCTCTAGCATGAACTGTGTGAGGATTCCACCTGCCTTTTGACCATGAAGGAGACAGACAGGGAGGCTGTTGCGACAGCAGTGCAGAGGGTTGCTGGGATGCTCCAGCGCCCCGACCAGCTGGACAAGGTGGAGCAGTACCGCAGGAGAGAAGCGCGGAAGAAGGCCTCCGTGGAGGCCAGACTGAAGGTGAGCAGAGCGATCACGGCCACCTGCCCCACTCCCGGCAGCACGGAGCCGTCTGTGTTGGGTCTCAGGTTCGCCGTGATGATTTTGCTGAACTAGCCTTTGTGGTGATGTGGGAGGAGCAGAGCTGGGTTTCTGGAGCAGTTATTTTCAGCAGTGTTTTACCCGTCAGTAGCTTTGCTGAGAAGACAGTGTGAATGGTGAAAACACCCAAAGGAACATCCTTTTAAATACCCTGAGGCTGGGCGCAGTGGCTCATGCCTGTAATCCCAGCACTTTATGAGGCTGAGGCAGGTGGATCACCTGAGGTCAGGAGTTCAAGACCAGCCTGGCCAACATGGTGAAGTCCCGTCTCTACAAAAATACAAAAAATTAGCTGGCATGATAGCGGGTGATGTAATCCCAACTACTCCAGAGGCTGAGGCAGGAGAACCGTTTGAACCCAGGAGGCAGAGATTGCAGTGAGCCTAGCTTGCACTCCAGCCTGGGCAACAGAGCAAGACTACATCTCAAAAAACAAACCAACAAAAAACAGCACCCTAAAAGTGTCTACTGTTATTTAAATGAGGTCTTATTTAAAGCTCTTCCTCAGAGCACCACTAGAGGGCGTTTTGTTCCCATCATTTTAACGCACTTTTTTTTTTTTTTTGAGACGGAGTTTTGCTCTTGTTACCCAGGCTGGAGTACAATGGCGCGATCTCGGCTCACCGCAACCTCCGCCCGGTGGGTTCAGGCAATTCTCCTGCCTCAGCCTCCTGAGTATCTGGGATTACAGGCACGCGCCACCGTGCCCAGCTAATTTTTTGTAATTTTTAGTAGAGACAGGGTTTCACCATGTTGACCAGGATGGTCTCGATCTGTTGACCTCGTGATCCACCCGCCTCGGCCTCCCAAAGTGCTGGGATTACAGGCTTGAGCCACCGCGCCCGGCTTTAACGCACATTTAACAGAACAGATCTGAGGCTCAGGTTCTCGTTCTGTGTGGGTCAGCCGTCCTGGGGCCAAGTGTGGCCCTGGCTGAACAGCAGGAGCCCCTTCCCCAAGCCAGTGAAGTCCTGATCGTTCCCTCTGCCTTGATAAGACCTTTTAGGAAAGTAGGGTTCCTGGGAGAGCATTCTTCTGAAGGTACTGTAGCAGGCCACGGCCCGGGGCGTCCTTCTGCAGGTTCTAGCGGGCCACAGCCCAGGGCATCCTTCTGCAGGTACCATAGCCGGCCACGGCCCAGGGCAGGCCCCAGGTGAAGGGCTAGATGAGGAGTGGTGTGAAGTTTTCTCACCAAAGCTTTAAAATACATCATTGTTTTGTTCCCAGACAGCAATGAAAAAAAGTTACATTGTGAATGAATCAGATCCTTGTTAATTTTATTCTCCTTTGTGGGTGTTGGCTACTTCCTGCTACTTGATGGCTCTTTTCTGAGCTGGATCCTCTGGGGAAGATGTGTGCTTCAGGAGGCCGCCCTCCTGAAGTGCCTGTCACTGGCCCTGCTCACCTGTGCAGCATCTCTCCTCAGGCTGCCATCCAGTCGCAGTTGGACGGGGTGCGCACGGGGCTCAGCCAGCTTCACAATGCCCTGAATGATGTCAAAGACATCCAGCAGTCACTGGCAGACGTCAGCAAGGACTGGAGGCAGAGCATCAACACCATCGAGAGCCTCAAGGACGTCAAGGATGCCGTGGTGCAGCACAGCCAGCTTGCCGCGGCCGTGGAAAACCTCAAGAACATCTTCTCAGGTACCAGGCCCATGCTCGATGCACGTGCCCACACTCACACCTATCTCTGCATGACCCGCTGAAAGCTCTGTGTGCCAGGTTCTTTGAAGCCTGAGCTGTAGACCGCTAGATAAGGGTGATTCTTGTCTGCTCAGTGTCTTGTTTTGAATGTGGGTAGAAGTGGTCAGTGGAGCAGGTCAAGGCTGGGAGGAGGCTTGCAGAGCTGTGTCAGGACAGGCCCAGCAGCGGCTGCCTGGCAGGCACAGTGTTGAGGGAGTCCCGGGCTGAGTGTCGTTCCCTCGACTGCGATGTGGCTGTTAGACTCTGCATGTAGTAGAATGAAGATGCTGCAGCCCACACTTAAAAGGAGCTGTGGGAGAAGCCACCCCACACTTGTGACAGAGCCAGCAGATCCCAGAGCAGGAGGGATGAGGTGAGCAGTGGTTCCCAGGCGGGAGGAGACTCCTGTGCACAGGCCAGGGTGGGCCTGGGGCTCAGCACCATGGGGGAGTGACCCATCCGGTTTTCTCCCTGACCACCTCAGGTAGAGGGATGCCAAGGGCCCAGTAACCTGTCCCTGAATGGTGCCAGCTGACCCCGGGTGGTGGCTCCCAGCATTTGTGTTCAGTCTCCTCGCACTTGCTGTGATGGGAGCTGCTTCCACATCCTCCTCCCTGTCCTCCCCTTGGTCTCCTCTTTGTGTCAGGGTCAGCGGCATCCTTCAAGTCCCCAACTTAGAAGCCTCAGCATGATCTGATTCCTCCCCTTCCTTTGTCCCTGTCTCTGGTGTTTTGGCAAGTTCTTCCTGTTCTTCTACCAGACATCTCTGCCCTGATGTCCCCAACCGTCATGTGCCCCAGCTCACACTCCACACTGGCTGGGCTGCATCGCCTGTGGTGTTGCTCGGCTCCTGAGGTCACGTGTGAGTTGGCGCAGTTCTCCCCGGCTGCCCACAGCGCACTTGGTAACCCCGTGTCCTGTCTACCCCACCCCCTTCTGCCCTCCTCTTATGCTTGCAGATGCAGCATTGCTGAGCACCTGGTCCCATTGCTCTGCACGTGCCCTTCCAGGCCGTGATCCATAGGGTCACACGTGGGGCTGTGGTCCGTGTCTCTCTTTTTTGTTTTTTTTTGAGACAGAGTCTTGCTCTGTCAGCAGGCTAGAGTGCAATGGTGCCATCCAGTTCAAGTGATTCTCCTGCCTCAGCCTCCCGAGTGGCTGGGACTATGGGCACACGCCACCATGCTCAGCCAATTTTTGTATTTTTAGCAGAGACAAGGTTTCACCATGTTGGCCAGGATGGTCTCTGTCTTATGACCTCATGATCTTCCCACCTCGGTCTCCCAAATTGCTGTGCTAGGATTACAGGCATGAGCCACCGTGCCCAGCCCATGGTCCATGTCTCTTTGTGCATACCCACCACAAATGCCACAGTGCTGCCAACTCAGAAGGCAGCTCTTCTTGGTTACTGTGGACAGCCTGGAACTGGAACAAAGTCCTCTCCATGGAGTCCCCTTGGCAATGGTCTCTGGCGCCTTTCTAGTTAATTTCCTCTTATTTCCTGTTGGCTGGCTACACTTCCTTCTGATCTTGTAAAACTAATGCCTAAGGACCAAAAAGGTACATTACTGGGATTAATTTATCCACAGCAGTTGAAAGTAGTTTCCTTTCCTTGATAAACAAAGGAGCCTATGTCGTATGCATGTTTTTTGTTATGGATAAATTTTCATTGGGAAGATGTGGTTTGGTTCCCTTCAGACTTGTCTCATTGCCTATAATTCAGTAATGCTGTGTACACAGCTCCCCTCCCCCATTTTTTATTGTGATAAAATGCACACACACAATTTGCCATCTTAACTGTTTTTAAGTGTTGAGTCGGGTACTGTTAAGAACATTCATATTGTTGAGCAGCCATTACCACATCTATCTTCAGAGCTCTCTTCATCTTGCTGACATGAAAATCAACACCCATTAAACACTGACCTCACACCCTCTACCCCAGCTCCTGGTCCCCACCGTTCTGTTTTCGTCTCTGTGAATTGGATGACTCTGGAGACCTCATATAAGTGGCCTCACACATTATCTGTCTTTTTGCAACATGCCTATTTCACTCCCCAGTGTCCTCAGGTTCTTCCATGCTGTAGTGTTATAGGATTTCCTTCACTTTTCAGGCTGAGTCACCTTCTGTTGTATGGATGGACCTATTGGTCTGTTGGTGGACACTTGAGTAGCTTCCACGTTTTAGCTATTGTGAATGATGCTGCAGTGAACCTGTGTGTACAGATAGTTGGCTTTCATTTCTTTCCCGTACATGCACACAAGTGTAATTGCTGGGCCACATGGTAATTTTATGTTGAAATCTGCAAGCAACTGCCAGAATGTTTCCTCCAGTGGCTGCACCATTTGACATTTTTCCACCAGTAGTGTGGAAGGTTTCTGATGAGTCTGCATTTTCATTCTTCTGAGTTTTTAAACATTTCTTTTATGTTTCCTTGTTTGCCTCATTAATTGTTTAAGAGTATGTTGTCTCATTTTCACAATTGTGAATTTGACAGTTTTCCTTCTGATGCTGATTTCTAACTTCATCTGTTGAGTTTGGATACTTTGTATGATATCTATCTTTTAAAACCCTGAGTCTTAATCTGAGGCCTAATACATGGTCTGCCCTGAAGAATTGTCCCATGTGCTTGAGAATAGCACATATTCTGTCATTGTTGGGCGTTCTTTCTATGTCCCTTCAATCTAGTTGGTTCGCTGCATTGTTCAAGTCCTCTGTTTCCTTGTTTAGCTTGTTTTGTCATTTTGCTATTTTCTATATGCCATATAACATTTTTGTCTCTTATTTCTGCATTTCATTTTTTTGTTCTTTTGATTATTTTAATAGTAAACATTATAATTCTCTTCTTGTTTCTTTCATGTATATTCTATAGCTATTTTCTTTGTGCCTGCCATAAAGATTACATTTAACATCTAATATTATATCACTTCAGTTTGAATTTATATCAACTTAACTTCAATAACATACAAAAACGGTCCATATACGGCTTCATCTTCACTCCCTTTGGGTTGTTCGTTTTGCAGAATTACATCTTTATATATTGTGTGTCCAAAAACATAGATTAATAATTGTTTTTTTAATGCATTCATTTTTAAGAATTATGTAGAAAACAATGTGGAGTTAGAATCCGTAGTGACAGTATTACTAGCATTTAGACTACTTTTTAGTATATTAGCTTCTTTTTTATTTGCCCCTTTTAACCAGAAAAATATTAGTCTCTTAAGTCATGTAGAACACAGAGAGATGAGTTAAAACTGAAGTTTTAATAATGCTAGGTTTTATGATCGTCCATGGATTTATCTTTAGTGAGACCTTTACTTCTTCGCATGACTCTGACTTGCTCTCTAGGACTCTTTCTTTTCAACCAGTGGGTCTCATGTAAGCATTTCCTGCAGGGCAGATCTTGTGGTAACAAGCTTTCCAGCTTCTGTTAATTTGGGAATGTCTTCATATCGCTCTCACTTTTGAATGACAGTTTTGCTAGATGTAAGGTTCTTGGTTGACAGTATTTTTCTTTTAGTACTTTGAATATGTCATCCCTCTGCCTCTGGCCTCCAGTTTCTGTTGAGAAGTCTGATCTGCTCCAAATCTTATTTAGGAGCCCTTGTTTCTGACAAGTTGCTCCTTTCCAAATTCCTTCAAGAGTTTGATTATGTTGTTTCTTACTGTGGATCTCTGATTCCTCTTGCTTGGAGGTCATTGAGCTTCTCGGATCTTCATATTCATGTCTTTCATCAAATGTGAGGAGTTTTGAGCTATTATTTTTTCAAATGATGTCTTGCCCGTTTATCTCTTCTCCTTCTAAAAGTCCCACTAAGCATATGTCAGCCTGTTTGATGGTGTCCACAAGGTCCCCAAGACTATGTTCACTTTCCTTAAATCTTTTTTCTTTCTGTTCCTGATACTTGATATTTCCCATTGTCCTGTCTTCACATTCACTGATTCTTTCTTGCACCCGTGCAAATCTGCCTTCAAATCCCTCTAGTGAATTTTTCATTTCATTTTTTGTACCTTTCTGTTCATATTTTCTTTTTGGTTTCTTTTTGGATTTTCTGTCTCATTATTGATATTTCCATTTTGTTCATACATGTTTCTTCACATCTTTTAGTTCCTTAAGCATCTTTAAATAGTTGTTTTAAAGTCTTTGTCTAGTAGATCTGCCATCAGATCTTTTACAGGGACAGTTTCTTATGTTTTCCTTTGAATGGGCCATACTTTCTTTGTATGTCTTGTGATTTTTTTTTTATTGCTGAAAAATGGACATTTAAATAACATGATAACTTAATCAGCTTCTTTCCCCTCCCCAGCTTATGCTGATTTTTGTTTCTTGGTTGTCGTAGGCTGTCTGTGCCAAGGCTTGGCCTGAGGTGTAAACTTAATGGTCATCACAAGTCTTTTCTGAGCCTGTGCCTTTCATGCATTGGTCACTTCCTAAGTTTTCCTGTATATGCAGTTACTTTTGAATGTCTTTGTTCATAAAGATCTGGCTTTCAAAAAGGGGGAAAAATGGAGGGGCTGGTGAAGACCTTGACCCTTTAAGTTCCCTGGAACTGTGTGGTGGGAGAGGAGGGACCTATGAACCTCTTTGCACATTTGTGAGGTGGTGGTTGGTGGTGGTGGTGGTGACGGTGGTGGTGGTGGTGGTGGTGGTGATGGTGGTGGTTGGTGGTGGTGATGGTGGTGGTGGTGGTGATTGTTTATGTTGCCATCTTGTGCCTTTTCTCTGCTGTCTCCCCAGAATGCTGCGTGCAGGCAGCCTGTTATGTGGTGGTGGTGGTTGTTGGTGGTGGTTGGTGGTGGTGGTGGTTGGTGGTTGGCGGATGGTTGTTTATGTTGCTGTCTTGTGCCTTTCCCCTAGTGCCTGAGATTGTGAGGGAGACCCAGGACCTAATTGAACAAGGGGCTCTCTTGCAAGCCCACCGGAAGCTGATGGACCTTGAGTGTTCCCGGGATGGGCTGATGTACGAGCAGTACCGCATGGACAGTGGGAACACACGTGACATGACCCTCATCCACGGCTACTTTGGCAGTACGCAGGGGCTGTCTGATGAGCTGGCTAAGCAACTGTGGATGGTGCTGCAGAGGTCGCTGGTCACTGTCCGCCGCGACCCCACCTTGCTGGTCTCGGTTGTCAGGATCATTGAAAGGGAAGAAAAAATCGACAGGCGTATACTTGACCGTAAAAAGCAAACTGGCTTTGTTCCTCCTGGGAGGCCCAAGAATTGGAAGGAGAAAATGTTCACCATCTTGGAGAGAACTGTGACCACCAGAATTGAGGGCACACAGGCAGACACCAGGGAGTCTGACAAGATGTGGCTCGTCCGCCACCTGGAGATTATAAGGAAGTACGTCCTGGATGATCTCATTGTCGCCAAAAACCTGATGGTTCAGTGCTTTCCTCCCCACTATGAGATCTTCAAAAACCTCCTGAGCATGTACCATCAAGCCCTGAGCACACGGATGCAGGAGCTGGCGTCGGAAGACCTGGAAGCCAATGAGATTGTGAGCCTCTTGACATGGGTCCTAAACACCTACACAAGGTAAGCCACCCTGGCGCCTGTGCTGGCTTTTAGGTGGAAGCTGTGTGTGAGAGGGGCCAGCAGTTGCTTGCCGGAGAGCCGACCGTGGGCTTTGCTCTGGGCAGGTGCTCCGTGCCCATGGCCTTGGTTTTTGGCCCAGGAGCGTCTTCTTTGTGGTCCGTGTGCTGGCGCCCAGCCTCTGGTCTGTGAACGCTGTTGTGTTTGGGTGCTGTCCCTGCTCTTGGCCTGCAGCATCGAGGAACTTGACAGGGTGCAGTTCCGGGCTGGGCCTGTTTCCTGTGCTCCCTTTGTACTGACTTACTTCCTCACGGTGATGCCTTGAGGTGCGTGTGTCGTTACCCGTTTTACAGGTGAGGACACGTGATCCCAGGCAGGGCTGGGACTGGCGCATGGCCACCCAGCTGGAGAGGAGACCACCATATCACCCCGCTACCCGCCCAGGTTCCAGCAACCAGGGTTTGGTTTCTTTTCATGAATATGCTATAGCAGTTAATATTCCAAAAGTGAACAGTTACAAGTCTAGATAGTTCTCGAAAACTCCATCCTCCTTTTCATATCGTAGTGCTGGACTTTGTCACTTCACTTAAGGGAACATGACCACTCTGTGCAGAGATTAATTTGAAAATGGTGCCGTGGTGGGGTTATTCCGAAATTCTTTAGGATTAGGTAGCTGAAATGAAACTTTAATTTTCCAACATGAATGGAAAATAGTATTAAGTAATGTTTGGGAATTTCTTCTCTTTTTCTTGCCCATCTTGTCACTGCCGTGAAGAAATTAAATAAACCTCATTTTTTTTAGCAGTAAGGTGTATTTTTGTGTCTTGTTTGTTTACCGGTAGCTGTGTGTCATAGAGAATTTGCATTTTAGTACAGAAGCACAGGAGAGAAAGGAAGCCCTGCAGAGAACGGCCACCAGGCCTCTTCGTGCACAGCCCTGGGCTCATCTCCCCTGCGACCGCTAATCCTCGTGGCTGCCGTGCCTGGCGCGTGTCAGCAGCCCCATGAAGCAGGAGGCAGGGGATAGAGAATGTGCCCAGGTCACACGGCAAGCCAGTGGGAAGCTGGATTCCAATCCCGTCCCTGGGCCCTTGCCAGGCTGTGGCCGCTAGACCGGGCTGTGCGTGTGTGCACCTTGCATAGGTTGTGTCTTGGTTTTGTCTTTCCACGCTGTGTTTTTCTGTCCTCGGGGATTCTCTGACAGCTTCATGCTGGTCTCATGAGTTCTGTTGCCCCGGCCTTTCTCAGCCAAGGTTGAAGTGGTCACTAGAAACATTCACACGTGGAATTGAGGTTCTTGGGCAATAATCCAGATTAAATAAAAGACTTTTAAAATGCAGAATTTTAGGAAGCACTTTTTCACTCACGAAGCTCTCAGATTTCTTATAGATAGTGGAATGGCCCTTAACCTGCGAGAGGGCCAGCTGAGGCTGCTTGGTGCCCCATTGGGTGCCCCAGAAAAATAGGTGAAAAATACAGAGGAGGCTATGACAGCCTTCCTGTCCTCTCCTCTTATTCAGTGTTATTCTGAGGATGTATTTAGGGAACATAGCACAAGGCATGTGAATTTTCTGAGTGGTCAAACCCTAGACTTAAAACGTTTTAATTTTAATTTTTGTGGGTACATGGTACGTGTATCAAACCTTAGACTTTAAAGAACCCAACCTCATACACAGATACTAGCTTTTTAATGAAAACGCTTCCTGAAATGTAGTGCTATTTCCTGCTACCTGGACAACAGACGGGACGTAGTTTTGCCTGTTCTTGTCCAGGCGTTTTTGTCAGTAACGTCCTGTATTCTGCGTTCCATCACCATCCTCTGCAGAGCGTGGTGATGCTGACCTCAGTGGCTTGTTTCCAGATTACAGCACAGCTGCCCTCCACACTCAAGGGGGATGGGTTCCAGGACCCCCGTGGATACCAGCATCCTCTGAAGCTCAGGTCCCTTTGATACAAGAAAGGGTGTAGTGTTGGCATGTAACCTGGCACTATCTCCTCCATACTTTAAATTGTTTCTAGATTACTTAGAAAACGGAATACAGTGTAAATACTGTGAAAATAGTTGTTGTACTATGAAATTTTTATTATTTTTTATTGTTGTTCTTCCTGAATATTCTCAGTCTGTGGTTTGTTGAGTCCATGGCTGTGGAGGCCGGCTGTGCTTGTCATTGTTTTGACTGAGCACGTCGGTTTATTCAGCGCCTCCTGTTTGCCAGGCCCTGCCTTGGCTCTGGAGGTGCGGTGAACAGAACACACATCTTCCCCACGGGGAAGGCTGTAACACATTTGAACCCCAGCACCTTGTGAAGCCGGTGCAGCAGGGTGAGGCTGGGGTTGGAGGGGACTCACGTGGTCTTGGAGCCGGGGGGTGATGCCACGGAGGCCCCAAGGCCCTCAGCCCCCTGCCCTGCACTTTCCCCTGAGTTGTGGACCAGCTGTGACCAAGAGGTCTCCAGGGTGGGTGGCGGGTGGACATTCATGGGTCAAGAGAAACCGCTTCGACACACTTGGGCATGCTCTTCCATGTCCGTCGTGGTTTGTCATTCACGTTCCTGGTTCTGCCGTAGCACAGAGATGATGAGGAATGTGGAGCTGGCCCCGGAAGTGGACGTCAGCACCCTGGAGCCTTTGCTTTCTCCACACGTGGTCTCTGAGCTGCTTGACACATACATGTCCACGCTCACTGTGAGTAGGGCCGGCCTGCACGCCACAGGCCACCGTGCTGGTTATATGAGTAAATGGGCTTGGCAGCAGGCGGCAGGCAGGGTGAGAAATGCCTTAGCCTGGACTTCCTAGGGTGTGGTGCTCAGCTGCTCTGTGTGCTAGTGGAGGAGAGTGCCCCTTCTCTGGGCCTGGATCCGAAGCTTGTCCCTGCTGGAGGCATGAGCCTGTGCCATCCTCTGCAGGCCAGCCAGGGCCCAGATCGTCCGAACCTTGCATGGTGGCACCTGCCGGTCTCTTGGCTCTGAGTCCCAGGGTCGGGGGGGTCAGTCAGGGACCAAAGGGCAAGTCCGGTTGAGAGGAGGAGGTCAGCAGGGTCTGCCTCTTAGACAGGGGTGCACCACACAGCAAAGCAGCATTGTACCGGAATGCCAAGGTGTCCTCAGGGGCTGGGGAGGGAGCGCTGCCTTCTCCTGGGATGTGAGCTGCTGAGGTTGCTGAGTCTGGGAACAGGGAACAGGCCTGTCCAGACTGACTGGACCTGGTTGGCCTCATTCTCTGTACATTTGGGACTCAACAGCCTTGTCCTCCAGCATGAGGTGTGGCCAAAAGAGTGTCTAGTTTCTTCTCCCTCTTTATCTGTCCCAAGGGTTCCAGTTACATCTGGGCAGGCTGCTGTGGGCACTGCCTTCCATGGGGGTGGCTCATGGGTCCCTGCTCTGGAGTCCTCGTTTGCAAACAAGTCCCCTCCCACCCCTCCCCCCCTCCCCCCCTCCCCTTCCCCCTCCCCCTCCCCTCCCCTCCCCTTCCATTCCCCTTCCCCCTCTCCTCCCCTTCTCTTCCCCTCCCGCCTCCCCTCCCCCTCCCCTCCCTTCCCCGCTCCCCTCACCCCTGCCTGCCCTTCCCCTCCCCCTCCGCTCCCCTCCCCTTCCCCCTCCCCTCACCCCTATCCCTCCCCTCCCCCTCCCTTCACCCCTGCCCTCCCCTCCCCCCCACCCCGCCCTCCCTTTTCCTCCCCCCTCCCCTCCCTTCCCCCTCCCCCTCCCCTATCCCTCCCCTCCCCTACCCCCTCCCCTCCCCCATGCCCCTCCCTTCCCCTCCCCCCTCCCCTCATTCCTGCCCTCCCCTCCCCTCCCCCCTGCCCCTCACCCCTGCCCTCCCCTCCCGTCCCCTCTTCTCCATGATGCTCAACTTCCTTTAGTCAAATATCATCGCCTGGCTGCGGAAAGCGCTGGAGACAGACAAGAAAGACTGGGTGAAAGAGACGGAGCCGGAAGCCGACCAGGACGGGTACTACCAGACCACACTCCCTGCCATTGTCTTCCAGGTACCACCTGCAAGGGATTGACACAGTTCTATTTCCTAGGTGGATAGTGGGACCGTAGGTTTTACAAAATGACGCAGATATCCGGGATCTTTATACACAGAGCGTAGGAAACGTATTGAGAGCCCTGCCTGGTGCGTCTGAGTCGCCTCCTCTCTTGGTCTCTTTCCTTCTGGAGCTGCAGAAACCTGGGATCGTACTTACCAAATAGTTTTGCCCAAGGCCACTTTACTTTTCTGACCTAGACTTTATGGGTTTGGACTGGAGCCTAATTATAGGGTATTTATGTGCGACTTTCAAATGAGAGTTTGTTTGGTTGATGTCCAGGATTTGTCATAAAAATGGCACGATTGAGTCTAAACAGGTGGATTTGGGGACGTCCATTAGCTTCTTTTTTTTTTTTGAGACTGAGTCTCACTCCATTGCCCAGGCTGAAGTGCACTAGCACAAGCTCAGCTCCCTGCACCCTCCCTCTCCCGGTTCAAGGCATCTATTAGCTTTCTAAGTTGCTTTCCTGTTCATCAGTCAGGGTTCTAATTGTGACACCCACGTGCGTTCTTACCACGGATTCACATTCTAATGCCCGAGCCTCACTAGGTGTTATACCTACGTGTGTTCTTACCACATTTTCACTTTCTAATGCCCGAGCCTCACTAGGTGTTTACACCCACGTGTGTTCTTACCACAGATTCACTTTCCAGTGCCCGAGCCTCACTAGGTGTGACACCCACGTGCATTCTTACCACGGATTCACTTTCCAATGCCCGAGCCTCACCAGGTGTGACACCCACGTGCGTTCTTACCACGGATTCACTTTCCAGTGCCCGAGCCTCACTAGGTGTGACACCCACGTGCGTTCTTACCACAGATTCACTTTTCAATGCCCGAGCCTCACCAGGTGTGACACCCACGTGCGTTCTTACCACGGATTCACATTCCAATGCCCGAGCCTCACTAGCTGTGACACCCACGTGCGTTCTTACCACAGATTCACTTTTCAATGTCCGAGCCTCACTAGGTGTGACACCCACGTGCGTTCTTACCACAGATTCACTTTTCAATGTCCGAGCCTCACTAGGTGTGACACCCACGTGCGTTCCTACCATGGATTCACTTTCCAGTGCCTGAGCCTCACTAGGTGTGACACCCATGTGCATTCTTACCACGGATTCACTTTCCAATGTCCGAGCCTCACTAGGTGTGACACCCATGTGGGCTTTCACCACAGATTCACTTTCCAGCCCTCGAACCCCTCTAGGTGTTACAGCCACGTATGTTCTTTTCATGGATTCACTTTCCAGTGTCCGGCCGCCTACCCGTGTCCTGTTTTTCCTGCTTTTTTCTTTTGACGTATCATGTTTTTAATTTGTGTGGCCTTGCTGAGGGTTGGAGCCCAGTTGTGTTAGAATCCTCACCCAGGCAGGGGCGAGGGCTGGTGGGAGACATTTCTGTCTGAATGATACTATTAGTTATTGACAGGGTATTCCAAACCCTTTCCTCTATTTGGAATTGGATGCCATGAGAAACTGTGTGAGGAGAGCCGGATGAGCTCTGCCCCCTCACCCTTCCTCTGCCTGTGTCTAGCTCATGGCAGGGCCTGGCTCCCCCAACTCCAGATTCTTAGGAAATCTGCATCATGACGATCCTGGAGCCAGGGAAGGTGAGTCAGGTGCCTGAGGGGCCCCACCTCCCTGCGAGGCCTTACACCACACATTAGAACTTTGGTCACATGGGTGAGGAGAGACGCAGCCCCCTTGGGAGAAACCAGTGTGCAGGTAATTAAGAAATGATTCACTTGGTACTCTCCCACGTGAGAAAGTTGTTTGTTTTTTTAAACTAACTTTGTTCTTATTCAAGTGGTTTCATTTTTTTTTTTTCACTTGGACTATTCTGCCAGTTAGCAGATGGGGGTTTGTATAGCAGCAAACACGTACTCTTAAGATACCCCTGTAAGATTATATCAGAATTCATAAGTTCTCCGATTTTTAGATGTTTGAACAGAATCTTCAAGTTGCTGCTCAGATAAGTGAAGATTTGAAAACAAAGGTACTAGTTTTGTGTCTTCAGCAAATGAATTCCTTCCTAAGCAGGTATGTCTTTTTGCCAGTGTGCTAATTTACAAATTGAACGTTTTTAAACATTAAAAGCAAAAATGCCTTGATCCTACTATGCTTGTTATTTTAAAAAAAAAAAAAAAAAAAAGCCTGTGGCTTCCCACGTGTCTCCTTGTGTTCTTTAGAAACGCAAAGGGATGGAGTGGAGCTTTTACACCATCTGCCCCTTGAGTGGACCACATGCCCCCTTGGGCTCCCAGAGCTATGGGTTGTGATGTCCTTAGTAATGTGCTGGATGGCGCCAACTCTGCTGGAGTCAGGCTTCTCCTGTTGCCTGTTCTGAACTTCCTGGGGGTGGGGATGGTGATTCCCAGTGCAGTGCTTGCTTCGCAGTGGGGAGGGTGCCCTTGGCGGAAGGGTTCCAGGCGGCCATGACCTGGCACATCCCCCTCGTCTTGAGTTTTTATGATGATTTTCAAACCTGTACAGATATGGAAAAAATGGTTTAAAAAACTGTATTCATCCATCATGCAGTCCACAAGCTATCGTCTCCAAGGCCCCCTTGCCTGATCTGTTCTCCCCTGCCCATTCCGCTCCCTCTCTACTGAAGTACCTTAAGGCAAACCCCAGTCACTGTGGCGTGGTGTCCACGTCCCTCTCCAGACGCTGCCGTGCCATCAGGTCAGAGGCACATGCACAGTGACTCCATGGGGTCTGCATTTGGGTTTTATCTCAAGTATGTCTTTTGATATTTGTCACTCAGATTGGACTGCACTGCATGAGAGCTTAGGGTTCCTAGGCCTCTGGTTCAGTAGAAGAGCCCCTTCCCTTGTAAGCTGCTGGCTTGTAGATCTCTGTAGAGAGATGTCCCTCGTCCTCGTCCTCAGTCTGCTGTCAGCCCTGAGCCAGACGTTGGCTTTGCAGGCTTGGATCCCACTTACTGGCAAGTGTGCCGCCACAATGTGGCACATCGGGAGAAGTGGCAGCCATAGGTCCTGCCCTGGGGGCTTAGTACTACATCCACGCCACCCACTCAGAGTTCCCTTCTGCCATCCATCCATGGGGTCATGTCCAAGTCCCCACTGGCCTTCCATCCACAAGGGTCATGGCCAAGTCCCTATACGCTGTCTGTCCATGGGACTTTTGGCCTGAGAGTTTGTTTCTTCAGAGGTCAGCATCATTTATGAGGTTAGATTCTTCTATAAAAAGAATGTTCCCTGGTCACTCTCAGCTTTTTGATTACCTGAACCACACTTTGGACAGAAACGCGAAGCTACTTCCCTGTAATTGCCAGTTTTCACTTTGCTCCTCCCTTAACATCTCTTAAACTAGAACCAGTTTTCATTGTACGACTGTTTCACTTGCCTACGTGCTTGAGAACCTCCACAGTCAGTTTCAAAGTAGAGTGTGTTGCTATTGCAGCAGTTTGTGTTTCTGAGATTTCAAGAGTCTGTCTGTAATTGGACTACTTCAGGGACAGTGTCTGAGAGGGACATTTTCCCTGACGTGTGATGACGTTCCTGACACTAGGAGTTTCTAGGTGAATTGGACAGTAAATAAAATGATGCTTTTCCAATTCCTCACAATCAAGTATGTTGTATATTTTTACAGTCAGCCTCTGAACCTTATTTTTTCTTTTTCCTTTTTGTTATTTTTTATCAACTCCTCAACATTTTTATATTTTTTAATTGTTTTTAAGAGACAAGGTCTTATGAGGTTGCCCATGCTGGAGCGCAGTGGTGCTCACTAGCTCACTCCTGGGCTCAAGCGGTCCTCCTGCCTCAGCCGACTAGTGAGCCATAGTTTAAAGCCTCAGGTGAAGTTATTTTTCAGTAATCCATTTAAAGTGATCAACCTCTCTGTCCTTCCATTAGTGTGGATCATCTAAAGATTGTTTTGTTTTTAGAGGCTCATCGGGTCAGACGTTAGTGATGTGAAATGTCAGCGTGGTGTTGGCCTTAGTGCTGTGTGACTGGGGTCTGTCTGTCCTCAGATACAAAGATGAGGCACAGCTGTATAAAGAAGAGCACCTGCGGAATCGGCAGCACCCACAGTGCTACGTGCAGTACATGATCGCCATCATCAACAACTGCCAGACCTTCAAGTGAGCGGCCGTGGCCGGCGGGGGGGAGGGCGGAGGGGGGGGGAGGGGGGAGGGGGGGAGGGGGGAGGGAGGGCGGAGGGGGCGGGAGGGGAGGGCCTGGCTGCTGTGGGACCTGAACTGTTTCCTTGCAGAGAATCCATAGTCAGTTTAAAAAGAAAGTATTTAAAGAATGAAGTGGAAGAGGGCGTGTCTCTGAGCCAACCAAACATGGACGGGATTTTAGACGCCATCGCAAAGGAGGGCTGCAGTGGCTTGCTGGAGGAGGTCTTCCTGGACCTGGAGGTGTGCCTGGCTCTTTCCTCCTGCCGTTTCTGGGGCTGACACATGGGGCTTCCTCACTGCCCTCTGTGCATGGGCTATAAACTGGACCACGTGGATGCCATCCCGGGAGCCGGGCTGTGTCCTTGCATTCAGGTTAAGTCACTTGAGCACCTCTGTTTTCCATGAAGCTGCCTGCTTCCTGTGATGCAGGGTCCTTCTCATGCACACAACTCAGTAGATTCATCCAGTAAGTACTAAAGACATCAGACACTTTACTGGATTACAAAATAGAAACAAATATGTAGGGACCTGTCAAAAAGCCCATTGAGAGTGCGCGCGCGCACACACACACACACCACCTCACATAGATCTGATCTGTTTGCTTTCGAATACAGACAAACATGCACACGAACAAAAATCAGTAATAAAATGAATTTAACAGTGTATCAAAGGCAAAACCTACCATGAAATACAGGGATTATTTCAGAAATCTAAAGATGGTTTAGCATGATTTAGATGTATTGGCAGAAATCAGAATCTATTTTAAAAATAAGGCCATGGCCATCTGGGGGTCCTGCTGGAAAGGGTTCTTGGGATGGGTGGTGGGACTGGCTGCTGGCTTCACAGCATCCGGTTGTGCAGGAGAACAGAAATGCGCTTGGAAGTGTCACCAAAGTGGCAGACACTTGTACTTTTCACAAAATGACTTAGAAAGCAAGAAGGAAATATCTACATTTGAAATTATTTCAAAATTTAAAAAGAACATATAGAAAAATGGACAAAGGACATGAACGGCCACTTCATAGAAACAGCAACACCAGTGTCCTCAAGATGAAACAAGATGCCCAGTCTTATCGTCAAAGAATGACGGCTGAACAGGGTCTGCCACTCAGAGGACGGCAGGAACCAGAGACACGGGTGCCTCGGGGCCGTGGAGGGTGCGGGAGAAAGGGGCTTTTTGTATTCCGTGTCGGCCCGAACTGGTTTGGGTTCTGGAGGGCAGTTTGGAAATACAACCGTAGGAGCTTTAATTTTTATACTTTTTGACTGAAAAAGTCAACTCTAAGGAATTTCATCAGAATTATACAGATTCACTGTTGCATGATCATTGCAACATGTGAAAAAAACTTAAATGTCCATCAGAGAATTGGGCCAATAAATGTGGTAAGCATACATAGCCATTAAAGTAAAAATGTGTCCACGCACAGATGCTTCCATCTTGAGCACGTCATTCTGGGAAGCCATCACAGAAGTTATAGCATAAGTCTCCTATATTATGTAATCGAACGTTCACCTGAGTACACATGCTGTTGTCATTGCAAAAGCAGTTCGAAGACGCTCGGAAGTGTCTCCCCACGCGCGCACTCAACCTCGTGGGACGTTGAGGTGGTGAGTTCTACGATCTGTTTGTGCTTTTCAGCAACATCTGAATGAACTGATGACGAAGAAATGGCTCTTAGGATCGAACGCTGTAGACATTATCTGTGTCACCGTAGAAGACTATTTCAACGACTTCGCCAAAATTAAAAAGCTGTATAAGAAGGTAAGCTGGGACCTAGTCCCCCAGTCACCTTCACACCAGGGCTCACCCTGCTCAGAATCCAGCGAGTGCCTCTGTGAAAATGAACAGTCTCTTGTTGTCCTGTCAGCCCAAGGGAGGCAAGAGGCCTGCGGACGCCGCCTCCCTGGGTCGGGGCTCTGTGGCACCCACTTGAGGTGGAGGGAGCCATGGTTCCTGGACAGGCCCTCGTGACCCATCTTAGCTTCTTGCCCTTCCTCTCACTCCATGCTGCCCCAGGGCAGACCCTCTGTCCTGCAGGACCAGGTTCTCTTTCCTCCAAAGTGCCTGCCAGTGTTCCAGGTACTGCGGTCCTTATCAAAGGGCGGCAGCAGCCACCAACACCAGCCCTGTCTGTGGGCCAGTGACTCGCCTGTCCTGCCTGCTGCAGGGTCCCAGTCGTGGTCACTGTTCCCCCACTGAGCTCCTGCTCCTCCTCTGTGGTGAGATGCCCACAGCTGTGGCAGGGCAAGGAGGAATGGACTCACAGCCTCCGGGGAGCCGCTGGGAGCTGCGGCCTGGGTTTAAATGAAAGTACTCGTGGTGCTAGAGCTGTGGAGCCTGTGGCCAACGGCGTGTTCCTCTCCAGAGGATGACGGCCGAGGCACACCGGCGTGTGGTGGTGGAGTACCTGCGGGCCGTCATGCAGAAGCGCATTTCCTTCCGGAGCCCTGAGGAGCGCAAGGAGGGTGCGGAGAAGATGGTCAGGGAGGCAGAGCAGCTGCGCTTCCTGTTCCGGAAGCTGGCATCTGTGAGTGTCTCCCCAGTGCTGGTGTGGAGAAGGGATTTCAGCCTCCACCCTGGGACTTTCAGGCCAGGAGATCAGAGTCCATCTTGTTTGTCCAGCAGGGAGCATGAGTCCAGATGCTGCCTGACCTCGTGTTAGGACAGGAGTGACCCGGGGAGGCAGGGGCAGACACACTCGCAGTGCCGGGTTCCAGGCTTCCAGGCTGCCCACAGCTCCCTGCTGGTCACCTCCCACTGACTCGCTGCTCACCCCAGGCCCCTGTCCCATTACCAAGGTCAATCCTGAGGGTCAGGGGTAGAGGGAGGTGCCTAGTCAGGGAAGGGGCTCAGCCAGAATCCAGCCGCTCCAGCGGGGAGGACAGCCGATGGTAGCTCCTCGCATTCGTGCTGCCTGCCAGGGGTTTGGGGAAGACGTGGACGGGTGCTGTGACAGCATCGTCGCCGTGGCCGAGGTGATAAAGCTGACAGACCCTTCTCTGCTCTACCTGGAAGTCTCCACTCTGGTCAGCAAGTACCCAGACATCAGGTAAGGGGTGCCCGCCTGCCTTGGAATCCTGCAGTGCAACGGTGGGTCCTTCCTCCTGTCGCTGGGCGGGTGGAGGGTCGTGGCAGCAGGGCAGGCATTCAGGCGCAGCATAGCGGGGCATGTGTGAGGAGCAGAGCGGCTCCTGTGCTGCCTCCCACCCAGCCTGGGCTGCGTGTGGTTGGGCGGAGCTCCGGGACACACCCAGGCTGGACAGCAGGGCCGTGGTGCGGTGGGGGCAGGGCTGTGACTCTGCTTTGTCTGGTGGGGAAGGTTTGGCCTGTGCTGGGCCATTTTAGGAAGTTTCCTCTGTGCTTATGGTGGACTCAGGAGGGTCCAAGTGCCGCTTGGACAGGACAGGATGCCTTCTGAGGATGTGATTGCAGGGATTCCCCGTGCCAGGCCCAGGGAAGAGGGCCCATGCATGCCTCCACCCGACATACTGGCCCCAGGGCCCAGGGAAGGGGACCCACAGCACACCCTCATCCACCATGCTGGTCCCAGGGAAGGGGACCATGCACACCCCTACCCGCCATGCTGGCCCCAGGTCCCAGGGAAGGGGGCCCATACATGCTCCCATGTGCCATGCTGGCCACGAGCTCCAGGGAAGGGGGCCCATACACGCCCCCACCCACCATGCTGGCCCCACGCCCCAGGGAAGGGGACCCATACACGCCTCCACCCACCATGCTGGCCCCAGGTCCCAGGGAAGGGGGCCCATACACGCCCCCACCCACCATGCTGGCCCCACGCCCCAGGAAAGGGGACCTATACATGCCTCCACCCACCATGCTGGCCCCACGACCCAGGGAAGGGGATCCACACACGCCCCCACCCGCCATGCTGGCCCCACGCCCCAGGGAAGGGGATCCACACACGCCCCCACCCGCCATGCTGGCCCCACGCCCCAGGGAAGGGGATCCACACACGCCTCCACCCACCATGCTGGCCCCACGCCCCAGGGAAGGGGACCCACACATGCCTCCACCCACCATGCTGGCCCCACGCCCCAGGAAAGGGGACCCACACACGCCTCCACCCACCGTGCTGGCCCCACGCCCCAGGGAATGGGACCCACACACACCCCCACCCACCGTGCTGGCCCCACGCCCCAGGGAAGGGGACCCACACATGCCCCCACCCACCGTGCTGGCCCCACGCCCCAGGGAAGGGGACCCACACATGCCCCCACCTGCCATGCTGGCCCCAGGCCCCAGGTGGCCTTTGCAGCCCCTGTTCCGGAGCACCTGCCACTTCCACAGGGCCACCTCCATGGCTGCAGCTGTCCACTTCCATCCCATCATCTTGCTGCCATTTCTGGTTAAACATGGAGAGCGGGGTCCTGAGCTTTCCAGGGTCTCTGCTCTGGTTGGGCTAGAACAAAGATTTATAAAATTGATGTTGAAAAAGCTTTCTGAGCAAAGACAGAGTAAGATGAAAATGCGGGCTTGTCTCCCCTGAAGAGGAAAGGTGCCATCTGTCTGCAGCTGTCCTCACCCACTGCGTTCTGTGGGCTGGGTGGTGAGGCTGTGAACGCCCAGTAGCGTGGCGCATCATGGGGGTGCTAGGTGGGCGAGGGCCGACGTCTCCCCATCCCCAGGGACGACCACATCGGTGCGCTGCTGGCTGTGCGCGGGGACACCAGCCGCGACATGAAACAGACCATCATGGAGACCCTGGAGCAGGGCCCAGCACAGGCCAGCCCCAGCTACATGCCCCTCTTCAAGGACATCGTGGTGCCCAGCCTGAACGTGGCCAAGCTGCTCAAGTAGCCTCCACTGGCCTGGCTTGCGCCCTCCACAGTCCCAGGCCCCACCCTCAGAAACACAGTAAAGCCGCACCCTCCACAGCCGTCTCCATCCTCAGAAATGCCGCAGCCTCCGCCAGCCTGGCCTTTACCCCTCTGCAACCCTGTCCCTGCCCTCAGAATCGCAGTCAATTGCTCTCCTTGGCCACGCATGCTGGTTTCAGCTGCAGGCCCGTCCTTAGGCGCCCGGTGATGCACTGGGTACGTGTGGAGTGAGCCGTGTGCAGAGGCCCCTCGTTCTGCTATGAAAGCCCTGGGTGCACAGCCTGTCTCGGGTGCTTGCTTACTGCCGTTGTTGAAGGTGCGGGGGGCGCAGGGGACATGAACCTCCGAGCCCTCCCTCCTCCCTGGACTGCACCCCACCTGCTGTAAGTACTCGGAACTCTGTCAGCTAATTAAAGTCTCTCTGCTTCCTCAGAGAAATGAAAACGCCACGCACTCTCTTTCCAGTTAAGGTTTCCTGACTACTGATCCAGCATTGCCCAGGAACTGTGTCAATTACGGAAGTAAAAGTCTTCCCTCAGCCTCCTTGTCCCCTTCTGACATCCCAGACTCACTCCTTGGGTCCTTTGAGAGATGAGACACTCACCTGCTGCGCCCAGCAAGCCCTGTCCCCACCCCCAGGTGAGCAGACCTCTGGCACTGGACGGTGCCAGCTAGGTCAGCCATGCCTGGTAGATGAGCAATGGCAGGAGTGTCAATTTTGGTAAAAGCAAATATAAAAGTGAATATTTCCTTGGAGTACATTTTCAAGACCTGTGGATCATGCTTTTCCTGATAGGGACTCCTTTAAATTCTTTTTTCCAAGATGTATCCGTTTCTCTACAGCATCTGCCTTCGATGGTACGTTAGTCTTTAATTTCATCCAAAGCTAATTAAGGGAGTTACCCCAGAGGCCGGGTGTGGTGGCTCACACCTGTGATCCCAGCAATTTGAGAGGCTGAAGTGGGTGGATCATTTGAGATCAAGAGTTTGAAACCAGTCTGGTCAACATGTCGAAACCCCATCTCTACTAAAAATGCAATATTAGCCAGGTGTGGTGGTGCACGCCTGTAATTCCAGCTACTTGGGAGGCTGAAGCAAGAGAATTGCTTGAACCCGGGAGGCAGACGTTGCAGTGAGCCAAGATCGCACCGCTGCGCTCCAGCCTGGGCGACAGAGTGAGATTCCGTCTCAATAAAAAGAAGAGGGGAGTCACTCGAGGAGGAGCAGGGAGCCCTTGGTCCTGGTGCTCAGATGGCAGAGTCCTGTGCTCTCTGTTTACAGAAAAGAATTGTCTTGGTTGAGGAGGCGTTTTACCTTCATTCCTCTGCTCCCCTGTGTACACAGCGCCTCGTTCCCTCCATCCTTGTCTCAGCCCCAGGGACTCACGGCTGGAAGGGGTAGGGGTGTCTGCGGGCCTGTCTGTCCTCGGGGACCCTGTGGTGAAGGTGCTGTGTGAGGAGGTGCTTTGTTTGCTCTCAAGACATTTTGGAGATGGCAGAGTTGACATTTTGCTTTTATTTCATCCTCATGTGATGTGTGAAAAATTTACAAGTGGGACTTTTTCTTGAAAGAATCAAAACTTAAGGGGAGTTAAATAACTGAGACATAGAAGCAGCTCTTAGGAGCATCAGGGCTCAGAAGCGGGTGCTCTCCCTAGGCCATCCAGCGGGCACTCCGTCCCCCAGTGCCCCGTGTGCCTCAATCCAGCTCCCAGCTCAGCAGCAGGCCGTGAATACGCCTGGCTTACAGTGAGTGCTCAGTAAATGCATGTGGATGAATAAAATTCGTGTTTGCAGTCATTAAGGATTGCCCCTTAGAAGAATGAAAATGCGTCTGTTTTCCCACTGAGAGGGAATTCTCGTTACTTCTGGAATGCGTGCCTAGGGTGAACGGTCATGAGTGTGCAGCCCTCACTGGTGTTTTGCTCTGATTCTGTGTGAGGGTCACTGCTGGGCCCCACGGTCACTGGTCACATCCACTTTAGGGGCACCTGCAATGACAGTGAATGAAGCATTTGGCCACTCGGCCCCTGGAGGCCAGACTGAAACCAGACGGTGAGTTCTGGGACCACTGACTGATGAGCATGATTTGGGAAGTAGGCCTTTAGCCAGGATGTGCGGGCAGGCTCTGGGGTGGGCCGTTTGGTGCCTGGGCAGTGGGTGCCCGTCCTGACACCAGGGGAGGGCTGTCTCCACCCCACACACTGCAGGACACCTGGGCGAAGGCCTGTAGCCACCGCCTAGCAGGAGGGCAGTGAGTGGCGAAACCAAAGGCTGGTGCCTGCGCAGGAGCGTCTGGCTGCAAAATGGCCTTGGGGAAGTGGATGCACAGGGCTACTGGGCTGCAGCGCATCCATGGGACCCGCGCCCCTTCCACCCTGCATGGCCCTCAGCGCATCCCTGAGACCCCTGTTCGGCCCTCAGCGCATCCCTGAGACCCGTGTTCGGCCCTCAGCGCATCCTGGGACCCGCACCCCTTTCACCGCACGCGACCTCCAGGCTATGTGGCCCCTTGGTTGAAAGGGCATCTTTCAAGTTAGGGCAGTTCCTTGATCTCCTCTTACTGGTGGTGGAGGGGGGGCACATCTCTTTGACAGTGAGGGGCTTCCACATCTCTTTGACAATGAGGATCTGCTGCTGTTCACGGACCCAGCCCCCCACGTCTGCTGACTGCAGTCTCAGCAGCTGTAAGATCACCCCCTAAAACATGTGGCCCAGGCACATAGGGTTCCTTCTTGTCCAGAGGAAGCCGACAGACAGCATGCTCCCACTTGAGGGCTGCTGGCTGCCCCCACCCCAAGAAGGGCCAAGCTATCCAGGCTGTAGACTCTCAGCCCACCTGCTCTAGGCTGCTGTAGTATCTCAGGCACCTCATTCTGCTCAGGCCTGGGTGAGCACTGTGTCCAAATCCCAGCCTCTGCCTTGGCTGCTCCCTCCCGCCCTCCCCAGGGTGCTCTGACCCCATCGGTCTGCACCGGAGGGGCCGTGCTCAGCTCCAGGAGTCCTCCCACAGCCGCTAGGAAGGGCAGCAACAGCACACACACACACACACACACACACACACACACACACACACGTCTCTGTTAATTTTTGGCAAAGTGTTATCTGCCTACAGGAGACTGCTCCTTATATTCTCGTAGGTAGATGATTTCTCATTTATAAACGAAGTTTGCACCCAAAATGCCTTGAAATGTTTTTAATAGAAGTGGTCTAGCAATGGTTCAGGGTTTGGTGATGGGTTGGTGATGGGCCCTCCCTGCCCAGACACTGCCATCCCACAACTGGAGGGCATTTAAGGCACGTCATTTTGTGATTAGAATTACACAAAGTTCAATTAATATTACAATTGCAAAATTATGCACAATTTTCACACTTGTAATTTGAAATGTTTTGATGAAATTCTTTGCTTTCACAATAGATTAGTACACAGTGTATTCAACTCTGTAACAAAATTAGTTTTGAGAAAATACAGAAGCGAGAAATAATGATTTCCTAAATTCCTATCACAGAGGAGGCCAAAGTTCAGTATTAAATAAATAGACATCCTTCCTAATAAAAGTTTTTACAACAGTTTTCCTAAGGAAATACATTCATAAGACAGTGGTGACAGAACATGGGGATTCCCACTCATGACGTGTCCCTAGCCCTCGTTCCTGGCACCCACAGCCCGGGCGCACTACGTTACCTGGTGGGGTGTGGTCTGAGCTTCTGTGAGCGAGGTTTCCTCACCTGGAACTCTGGTTCCACGTTTGTGCTTAAGCCTGTGTGGTCTCATAAACACAGAAAACCTGCCTGCCCACCCCGGTGCCGAAGACTGACCTCAAGGAGGTGTTGGTAAGTGTTGTGTTCACCACATGGTAAGCTGGCGGTGATCACGGCGTCGTCTTTGCTGACTTTGGTGTCCGGGGAGGAGCGACCAGGAGTGGCCGAGCAGTTAGTTACCTGGACTCAGCTTCTGACTGCAGCTGGGAGTCAGATGCAGGCCCAAGCAAGGGTCCAGGGGAGTTGTTCCGTGCCGTCACCGCACTCTGCGCTGTGGGCCGCACGACGCTCCTGCTCTGTTCTCCCAGGCTAGGATAGGCACTTGGAAGGTAGCTTTGCTCTTTTGGCCGCCCAGAGACCTCTCGGTGGTGCAGACGGGACAAACTGGGGGCCTCTCAGAACACCCACTCGTGCCGGGGAGGCCAGGCTCCAGGCTGCTCTGGTGGACATCAAGATGGTAGCTGCAGCAGGGACCCAGGATGGCCTCAGCTCTGTCCAGCAGGGTCACTGACTGGGCAGGCCTCGCTGCATAGGGAATGGCTGGAGTTTGTGCTCAGAGTTGACTGAAATGGCTGCAGAGTGTGGAGAATGACCAGTGAACCCTGAAAGTCACTGCGCTTGATCGGGGTGGCTGCGCCACTGGTCCACACAGCAGAGCGGCTGCAGTGAGATGAGAGCTTCTCCGAAGCTGGGGTCACGGAGGCTTCTGTGTGGTGGCGCTTCCCTTTTGCACAGCGGTACGAAGTTACCAGTGGGAAATGGTGGCCTCTTCCCACCAGTGTGCCACAGTCGAGCCACGCGGAACTCTAGAACGCCTCCTTCCTGGTGACTGCCAGCGCTTCCCAGGACTATTTACTTTTCCTGAGCAAGGAGCTGCGCGTCTGCCTTTGGAAAAGCCCCTGGGAACGTCCCACCTCCACTGCCCTCATCAGAGCCAAGTGCAGGCGGGTTTTCAGGCAGGTTGGACCCTGCGGGACTTGCCGCCTGAGGGATGAGCGGACTCGGAGCCCCGTCCCGGCTCCGCACCGCGGCCTCCGCCCACTCTGGACTCGGCCTCCCGGGACTCGGGCTGGAAGCCGGTGTCCCCGCGGAGGACCAGGACCCGCCCAGGGACGCTGGAGGCGGTGGGGAGGGTCCAGGACAGGCCCAGGGGTCTCAGCAGGTCTCCGTGGAGGGCCTGAGCCTGCGGGGTGCCCTGGGCACCTCCATTCCCCCTTGGCGCTCCCCGCTGTGTGAAGGGGACCAGGGCAGCCACTTAGGACCGGCCATGATTCCCGGCAAGCGCCGCCAGCCAGGCCACCTCTCACCCAGCCGGGGCACCCCGGGCGCCCTCCGCGCCAGGGACGACAGATCAGGGCGGAGACCGCGGTGCCCAGGGCAGCCACCGAGACCCGTCGCGGGCAGGACGGAACCCGGGAGGGACACGGAGCACGTGCTGGCTCCGGGAGTCTAAACCCCAAGCGCTGAGCAGACGGAAGACATTCCGCCGCTTTCCCTGCAGCTCAAAGGCCCGGCGAGGGCCTGGAAACGGCGGTCGGGCCCCGGGTCCTGGCGCTTGGGAGGTCCCTGAGTGGGTCCCGGGAAGAGGCGCGGGGCAGGGAGGGGCCCGGAGCTATCAGGGCTGGTTTCCCGCCTGCGAACCCCTTCTGGGCGAGCCACGGTTTCGGGGCCACGGTGGGGACGGGCGCCAGCGGCCAGCTCTGGCGCGCGGGCCCTTCCCGCCTGTGGCGTCACAGCGGCGTCTCCTCCTGCTCCAGCGCGTGAGGCGGCGCGTGGCACGAGGGTGGCAGCGAGGCCAACTTCAGCAGCGCGGGGCGGCGGCGCGCGCGAGGCCGCTGAAACGAGCGCCGGCTGTGAACGCGGCGCGCCGCCGCCGAACGCGCGTGCGCACTCGGCAGCCCCCGGCGCTCCGGCCCCGCCCCTGGTGCGGGCCCCGCCCCCAGCTCGCTCTCGGGAGGCTCTGCGGGCGCGGGCAGGGCGCTCTCCGGGTTCTGCGCAGGCGCAGGCGCGGGTGGGGCGGGGCTCGGGGCGCGCGGTAGCTGCAGCCGCGCAGGGATCGGGGGCTTCTCGGGGGCGGAGGCGGCGGCGGGCGGCCCGTGGCGCGGGGACGAGCGTCCGGTCAGCGGCGTGTCGGAGCCGGTGTCACCTGCGGGAGAGCGGGACCTGAGCGGTGCGCGGAGCCCGGGCGCTGGGGCGGGAGGGGCGGTCCCCGGGGCTCAGCTCTCCTCGAGCCCGGCGGCTCCCGCCTACCCTCCCGCCGCGCACCCCAGACTCGGCGCCCGCCGGGGACTCCTCCCAGGGCCCGGGTTCGCGGGGCAGAGGCGAAAGCGGCAGCAGCGAAGCCCCGGCCCGGCCCAGTCACGTCCCGCCGTCGGGGTCCCAGGACCGCGGCCTCCTCGGTGCGGGAAGGTCCCGCCCCAGGCCCTGCAGCGCGGGAGGCGAAGGTCCCCAAGTGGGAAACCTGCTCCCTCCATCTTAAACCGAGGCAGCCCCGAACGGCGAGGAACCCGAGGGGCCGCAGAGGGAACTCGGAAAGCCGGGCCTGTGGCGCCCCTCCCTCTCCCGGCCCTGAGCTGCGGGGCGGGCCCTCGTGTCCCCGGGTGAGGGTCGGGGCGCGCGGGCTGCTCCCCGGCTCCTGTCTGGGCCCCGCGCGGGCCTGCTGCCCGCTCCCTGGGAGCGCCCTCGGAGCCGCCTAAAAGGAAGGAAGCCTCGGGCAGCCCCGGGCCTCGCCTCCGCAGGAGCAGCAGAGGGCGAGTCTCGGTCCGGGCTCCCGAGGGGGTGCGGCCGGCGGGGCCTAGAGGAGGAAGAGGAGCTGCAGGAGAGAGAAACAGGTGCCAGGTTCAGGTCCCGGGCGGAGGAGAGAGTCGAGGCCTGCGGAGAGGAGCTGCGGAGAGAGGCGTTAGCGGGGGCCCGGGAGCGTTACATGTGTGTGGACTCGGGCTTGGCGGCGGGGGCCCGCTCCTCGGGGCCGTCGGCCTGCAGGAAGGAGTCCACCGACTTGCTGCTGAGGCGGAAGGGCGTCAGGCGGCGGAATGTGCCGGGAGAGAGGGGGATCTGCGTGCGGGCCCTCTGCGAGGGCACCACCGTCTCCCCGGGAGACAGCCAGGGCGGCACCCTGGCCAGGAGGCTGCGGTCCAGGGCCTCGTCCGGAGAAAACACAGGGTTGTCAATTCCTAGGGGAGAGAGCAGCGGCCGGTCAGCCCCCGGAACCCCACGGCGGCAGGGGAGGCCTCACCCGGGCCGTCACCCGCAGGGTGCCCTGGAAGGTCAGGGTCAGCGGGAAGGTCAGGGTCATCCGCAAGGTCAGGGTCACCCGGGAGGTTAGGGTCAGCAGGAAGGTTGGGGTCACCCGGGAGGTTAGGGTCAGCGGGAAGGTCAGGGTCATCCGCAAGGTCAGGGTCACCCGGGAGGTTAGGGTCACCCAGGAGGTTAGGGTCAGCGGGAAGGTCAGGGTCAGCGGGAAGGTTGGGGTCACCCGGAAGGTTAGGGTCAGCAGGAAGGTCGGGGTCAGCGGGAAGGTCAGGGTCACCCGGGAGGTTAGGGTCAGCAGGAAGGTCGGGGTCAGCAAAAGGTCGGGGTCACCCGGGAGGTTGGGGTCAGCAGGAAGGTTAGGGTCACCCGGGAGGTCAGGGTCAGCAGGAAGGTCGGGGTCACCCGGGAGGTTAGGGTCAGCAGGAAGGTTGGGGTCAGCAGGAAGGTTAGGGTCACCCGGGAGGTTAGGGTCAGCAGGAAGGTCGGGGTCAGCAGGAAGGTCGGGGTCACCCGGGAGGTTAGGGTCAGCAGGAAGGTCGGGGTCATCCGGGAGGTTAGGGTCAGCAGGAAGGTTGGGGTCAGCAGGAAGGTCGGGGTCACCCGGGAGGTTAGGGTCAGCAGGAAGGTCGGGGTCACCTGGGAGGTTAGGGTCAGCAGGAAGGTCGGGGTCACCTGGGAGGTTAGGGTCAGCAGGAAGGTTGGGGTCAGCAGGAAGGTAAGGGTCAGCAGGAAGGTCAGGGTCACCCGGAAGTCAGGGTCACCCAGGAGGTTAGGCTCACCCAGAAGGTTAGGGTCAGCGTGAAGGTTGTGGTCACCCAGGGAGTTAGGGTCACGTGCCTTTCAGGTTGCAGGCCCTTGCCCCACATCCATGGCCCCACACACCACAGGCAGCCCCAGTAACACCTCCATTCCCTTGAGACACACCCAGCCCACTCCGGGGACACGAGTTGGTAGAGGGGGCACTCAGTGCCAGGCAGGGCCCTCAAGAACTCACAGGAGTGCCCCCCCACCCCCTGCCAGGTCCCAGTGTCCCTGGTCCAATGACAGAGCTCCCTTCTGGGACAGCAGGGGCCACCCATCCCTTGGCCACGACGTCCTCGCCCTGTCCCCACCTGCAGGAGAGTCGGATGCTGTGTCCTTGGTGACACCGGCCAGGAACTCGATCCCCCCGCTCATCTCATCATAGTTGGGGGGCTCCTCGGTGTCTGAAAGTTCCAAGTCTGGGGGGCATGAGGGAGACAGGCTGGGGTGAGGACTGGGGTCACTGGGGGGCCATCCTCACAGACTGGTCAGCAGTGTCCATCAGTGTTGTGCACTTCGCTGCAGAGGGTTGGGACCCACAGAGAGGAAGGCTGGACCGCAGGGCCAGGGGAGGGACCCAGAGAGGAAGGCTGGACTGCAGGGCTGGGGGAGGGCGAGGAGGGACCCCACTTGTAGGGCAGTGCTGCTGGAGCCCCATCCTGGGTGGGTCTGACTGTGCCTCCCCTGCTTGGGTGGCTGGAGGGGCAGCAGCTGGGAGGGTCCTGAGAGGGGAGGGCGAGGCCTCGGAGGTGGGGCTGTTAGCACACCTTTCTCCTTGATGGTGAAATTCTGCACAGGGATCTCCGTGGGCAGCTTCCCGTTGGGGATGCTGCTGTTTCTCTGTGGAGTGAACGTGAAGCTGCTAACACACCCCAACACAGCCACACTGGCCCTGGCCCCGCTCCCGCTCAGGCCCCGGCCCCCCACGTCTCCTGGTGGCCCACCCTCACCCGCTTCTGGGCACGCTCCCGCTTATACATCTTGGCTGCCTTCTTCTGGTTGAGCCCCAGCTTGGCTGACTTGAAGGACTCCAGGCGCTTCCGCATGGTCCTGTGGAAGATTTCCCGGTCCTGCTTCTCATCCTCAGTGGGCGTGAGCTCGTGCCGGCTGTACAGATGCTTGTACTGCAAGGTCGGGCACGGAGGTCACCGCTGTGCCGAGCATACACTGGACACTCCTGCCCTCCTACTGTAGGGGCTGAGCACAGATCCCCATGGTCCCAGGAGAGGACCAGGAGGCGCCCCCAGCCTGCAGCACCCACCTCCTGCCGAGGCTTGTACAAGTACTGCTGCAGCGTGTGGTGCGTGACCATGTCCTCCGTGTCCCGGATGCTCCGTCGCCGCTGTTGGAGAGACTGCATGTCCAGGCAGACGGCACTGACGTTCTCCCTCCTGTGTGGGGACAGCGCTGAGCCACACGTTGCCTCGGGGCCCCCGGCTTTATGGAAGCCACCTGGCCAGCCCCTTCTCTCCTCAGGGCTCAGGCCGAGTCCCCACGAGGCTTTCCTGGACTCCCATCTGAAGTGGAGCCCCCTCCTCACTGGCCCCCCTCTGAAGCCCTGGGTATGAGATCCGGGGACCCCAGTGTTTGCACACCTGGCAGAGTGGACCTCCCGTGACAACTGGCCATGAGCCGTGGAGCCCAGGGCTAGAGGGGCAGTAGGGGTGGCATGGGGACCAGGACAGCCTGCTTCTGACAGGGCAGACACGTCAGGCTCAGCCCCCAATCCCCTGTACCCCCTCTTTCATCTTGCATCCTGCACTGAGGGAGTCTGGCCAACACCTAACACGAGGGAGTCCTCTCCTGCCGGAGAGGACCCTGGGCCCCACCTTCTGCACCTCTCCCTTCCCCTTCCCCGCCTGCCACCCCAGGCCAGGAGCTGTTGCAGCCCCTCTGTGACTCTCAGCTCCCAGGGCTTCGTTCTTCCCCGGGGAAGAAGCTGTGTGAACGTGGCCACGTACAGGAGGTAGGAGACGGAGGCCTCCACGGTGGATGACCGCGGTGTGAAGTCCACGTTGACCATGTTGTCTGTGCTGGGGGAGCGGATGAAGGCCAGGGACCCCCGGCGCTCTCCCTGTGGTCAGGAGGCAGCCCCGTCAGCGGCTTGAGCAGCCCTAGGCCCCAGACCTGGAGCAGCTGCTGCTGATGTGTGCCCTGGTGGGAAGCGCTGGGAGCTCGGGGCCCAGGAAAGACCTTGAGATAGAGCCTGGGTTCACCCCTCATAGCTGCGGCAGGTGGAGACACCAAGAACAGGAGCTCAGATTTTGAGCCCCCGTCTGTGTCCATCTGAGGCATAGCCAGTCTTCTGCCTGAGCTGGGCAGACGTAACAGTTACGGGAGGACACAGCGGTTTGTGTGTGAAGTGGTGAAGCTGTCTGGGACCTGGGGTGGGTCTGGGGACACTGTCTATACTGCCAAGTCAGAGAGGAGCCCCTGTCCCTGCTGGAGGCCCTGAAACACCTGCCCCCATTTCCCCAAGAAAGGAACCCCATCGGTGCCACGTCCAGAACTGAATCAGGTCAAGGGAATGGAGCAGAGCCCAGTGGGGCATACAAGCTGCAGAGCTGAGTGTCCTCAGAGCCCGCCCGCCTGCCCAGCAGGGTTTGGAGTGAGGCCGTGGGGGAGCATAGGGCGGGATGGGCTTATGGCTGGAATCAGGGTCCCCAGGGTTAGCGAGGCCGGGTGTGGGGAGTGTCAGCTCGCTGTGCCCCGTCCTCGCCAGGTGGGCACCTGTGCTGCCTTGCAGTGGCAGAACCCTCCCAGAAAAGCCTCCAGGGGTGGGAGGTGCCTCTACTCCCACTGCAGACATGGCCCCCACCCTGGGGCCTGTGAGGGTCGTTGGTTCTGAGGATCCTCTGTCTAGGCTTTTGCTTCTAAATCCAGCATCTTCTGTACTTTTGTCCCTTTCCCACTGACTCCATGAAGACAAACCTTTTAAGAGTGAGGGAGCCATGGTGTAACTGAAGCTCTGGGCAGACACAGGGAGGGCTGCAGGGTGGCGGGCGCTGGGAAAGAAAGCAGCTGCCCTGTGTGGGAGCCAGGAGGGCCACTGGGCAGGTGGCACTATGGCCACGCCACCCCAGGTGGGGAGACTCTGGCCTGAGTGACCGGGAGGAGCCCAAGGCTCCCCACACGCAGCTGAACCCAGGGTCAAGGACGGTGGCTGGTGGGGTTGGGGAAGAGGCTTGAGGCCCTGCCTGCTGACCTTGTCACCCATGTGGGGGTGAGGGGAGCCCGCTGCCTCTTCCCACCCTCCAGCCAGGCTCCAGGCCTCCTAGGCCAGGGTATCTCAACTTGCTCTTGCTTGCTGGGCCTGTGGTTTGGGGTATTTTATGGAGCCGGGTCCAGGGGCCCTCCTTCCTGATCTGCACTGGCCCAGGCCCCCGTGCCCTCTGCCAGGAGTCACCTTGCCACTTAGTGTGGCCCTGGCCATGGGTGGTACGTCTGGGGTGAATGGGCCCCAGTGGAGGCAGAATCATTCTGTCTGAATGAATGTTATTTCCAGGGCCCTGCTGGCTCTCTGTGTGAGGTTTTGTCAAGACGGCCCGTTCCCTCTGGCAAGAGCACCAGCCCCAACTGGCTGCTGGACAAGGGCGCCAAAGCTCCATAGGGAGGGCTCTGTCCCTCAGGAGGAGCGGGACCTAAAGGGAGCAGAATCCCTGCAGCTGGGTGCCAAAGCTCCATAGGGAGGGCTCTGTCCCTCAGGAGGAGCGGGACCTAAAGGGAGCAGAATCCCTGCAGCTGTGCCTGTACGTAGGTCCTGCTCCGTACAGTTCCTGCAGCCAGAGCCCCTCTGGGGAGGTCAGGGCAGGCCTGGGAGGCTGAGGCCATTCTGGGCAGGAGCTGGGTGGGGCGCCTGGGGCCTTGTCTCCTGGAGCAGGCAGGGGTGCTGCAGACGCCAAGAGGCCCCGTGGACCAGGAGATGCTGGGGCAGCCTCAGAGCCACAGCCTGCCCATGGCGGGAGACAACCCTGCTGCTGCCCCTCCGTGTGCCTGCATGTGGGCCTGTGGGTACTCGTGTACATGAGGGCATGTGTGTATGGGCCTGTGGGCATGTATGTGCATGTGAGCATGTGCGTGTGTGGGCACGTGTGTGTGGGCATGTGTGGGGGGAGCCCTATATGTGTGTGTAGGACTATGGGTGTGTATGTGCCTGTGCGTGCATGTGGGCCTGTGGGCACGTGTGTTTGGGGGCCTGTGGGCGCATGTGTGCCTGTGGGCATGTGTGTGGGACACATGTATGTGGACCTGTGGGCACATGCATGCTGTGGGCGTGTGGAGGGGGCCTTTGGGTGCATGTGGGCACATGTGTGTGTGGGCCTGTGTGCGGGTATGTGGCACGTGTGTGTGTGAAGGGTGTGTTGGTGTGGGTGTGTGTGCATGTGGGTCTGTGGGCATGTGTGTGTGTATGGGTATGTGCATGAACGTGGGCATACAGGCATGTGTGCGTGTGGGCCTGTGGATGTGTGCCTGGGTATGTGTGGGCCTATGGGCACCTGTGTGGGTATGTGTGGGCCTGTGGGCACATGTGGGCATGTGTGTGGGGCCTTTGGGCATGTATGTGCATGTGTGCCTGTGAGCACCTGTATGAGTGTGGGCCTGTGGGCACGTGTATGGGTGTGGGTTTTTGTGTGTGGGCATGTGTTTGTGTCTGTGTATGTGGGCATATGTGTGTGGGGGGCACGTGTGTGCATGTTTGTGGGCCTGTGGGCGAGTGCATGCGTGCATGTGGATGTTTGGGTGTGGGCATGTTTGCGTGTGTGTGCGTGCCTGTAAGCATCTGTGTGTGTGGGCACCTGTGGGTGTGTACATGTGTGTTGGTGCATGGACATGTGTGTGCATGTGGGCCTGTGGGCACATGTGTACATGTGTGTTCGTGTGTGCTTTTGGGCATGTGTTTGCATGTGGGTGTGTGCTTGGGTGTGCCCAGGTATGTCGGAGCAGGTCCTATAACAGCCTGCCAGCTTCCTGTCCACTTCCATCTCCGGGGAAACTGCAAAAGCGCAGAGTTTGAGGATCTGGCCTCAGCTCTCAGCCCAGCAGCACCACGGTCAACAGGGCTCTGTGACATGGTTTACCCCTTGTGAGAGCCAGCTGGGATTTCCAAGGCATCAGAAGGCCCAGGATCCTCCTGTGAACTTTTGGGGTGGGCCTGGCCTTGGGATCAGGTGCAGGGGCCTCTCCTCACTGCCCCTGTGGTGCCCACAGCTAGTGTCTGAGCCTGCTTCAGCCCCCACCCGACAGAGGGAGTGGGTGGCTCTGGGACCTCGGCCACGTAGCTGATGGCGTCCTTCAGGTTCAGCTCGTGGAAGACATTCAGGATCTGGTCTCGAGACTTCTGGGCTGACCGTCTCATGAGGACCCGGCTGAGGAACTTCCTGTCGAAGTGGGACCACCTGCAGGGACAGACCCCATAGTCTGAGCCTCAGGCCACAGGAGCCCTGGAACCTGCAGGAACAGACCTCACGGCGTGAGCCTCGGGCCGCAGGAGCCCTGGAGCCTGCAGGGACAGACCTCACAGCATGAGCCTCAGGCCACAGGCACCCTGGAGCCTGCCAGACGGCCTTTTTCTTCCCTGAATTTTATTTGGTGTAAGGACCCTGCAGGTGCAGTTAAAAGGAGAGCAGCCCCGCCAGGCACCCAGGCTGTTCCGCTGCTCTTCTGCCTGTCCTGTTTGATGGAGGCCATTAGAAGGCACGTGAAACTAGATTCCACTTTCCAGCAGCCACTGCCTCCAGAGGGGGGCTCAGGACAGGGTGGGCATCAGGCCGGGTTGGGCAAGGGGTCTCCGGCCACATGGGGGAACATTTCAGTTTGACAGGAGGAAAGGCAGGGGTGGGCAGACGCCCTGAGGTTTTCAACCTGCCAGAGTCAAGCTGATCAGAGTGAGGTTTTTTAGCCTAACAGTGTTCACTGGTTATCCAAGGCAGAAGGGACAGTGGCCCGGCTGGACTTAGAGGAAACTCTGGGGCACAAAGAGGTGAAGCCTGTCACTCCTAGACATGGGCGCAGCTGCCAGACCTGGCCCCTGGGGCAGAGGTGGGCCCTGGCGAGCTTCAGTGCTCACCCCGGATGGCCCCTGGGAGGCCAGGGAGTTGGGGACTGGGTACCTGAAGCAGAGTCGCTGTGGCCACGGAGAACCACAGCTGTGCTTTATGAAGCCACGTGGCCACACCATGTGGATGCTTCCACCCCCACCAAACACAGATCGTTTGGAAAACAGGAACCAAGGGCAACTTGTGCTGCATACTGGGTTTATTATGATTTTAAATGTCAAATGTGTTTTATAATAAAACAGGTGATTTCAGCTTAATGGACAAAATCTTTTTTTATTTTGAGACAGAGTCTCTCTCTGTCGCCCAGGCTGGAGGGCACAGGCATGATCTCGGCTCACCACAGCCTCCACCTCCTGGGTTCAAGTGACTCTCATGCCTCAACCTCTTGAGTAGCTGGGATTACTGGCACCTACCACCACCCCTGGCTAATTTTTGTAATTTTAGTAGAGACAGGGTTTCGCTATGCTGGCCAGGCTGGTCTCAAACTCCTGACCTGAAGTGAGCTGCCTGCCTGGGCCTCCAAAAGTACTGGGACTACAGGTGTGAGCCCCACTAGACAAAATCATTTTAAACGTTGACTGATATGAATACACCCTGTTTATGATATGGAGGAAATAATCTGTTTTCCCTGTTTTCAATTCTTACATAGCAATTTGGAATTAATTGGCCCACATGAGAGGCTGTCTCTATTCCCAGGAGCAAAGGGCATGCGGCTCCCTTTCGGTAGCACCTGTGTGTCTGGGGGCACACCTGGCACCTGGCCTCATGGGGCACCGGAGCCAGCCTGGACACAGACAGTTACGCACGTGGCTTCCGGATCTTTCAAGCGGAGGATGTTTCTGGAAGCCGGGCTGTGCTGTGTGGCACAGCTGGGGCAGCCCCAGCCACTTACTTGTCTCTGAGATAATTGTGCCCGATCTGTCCAGATATGTCCTCGATGGCTGAGAGGATGTGGTCAAAAGCCTTTCAAGGGAAGAAAGACGTGAACATCTTGGGGCAGCCAACGGGGGAACACGTGACATTCCTCTTCCCTCCCAGGCCCAGACGAAGCCTCCCCTCCCCTCCCGGCCCAGCCCCGAGGAACACTCAGACTCCCCACTCACTCCCCCAGCCCCAAGGAACACTCAGCGCCCTCCCCCACTCACCCCCCCCAGCCCCAAGGAACACTCAGCGCCCTCCCCCAGGCCCTGGACGTACGCGGCCGTGCAGCTTCTCATTGAGCCGGGGTTCACGGTGCTCACTCCTCTTCACCTTCAGCCACTGCACCAGGGGCTTGATGGTCAGGCCCTGGAGGACCGGGTCTCGTGACCCTGGTGCCAGGCAGCCCCCCACTTCCCGCTGGTCCCACCGTGTGCACTGCACAGAGCTGCTTGCCCTGGGGCCCGCGGAAGACATCCCCCCTCTCCTGGAGCCTGGCCACCTGCAGCCCTGCTCTGTGGCGGAGGAAGCGGCACCGGCCTCATCCACCAGCAAAGGCTCAGGAAGAATATTTTTAGGACAATTATGCTTCCTCCCTAGTGGGGCCACATGAAAACCTCCAAACAGCTCCTAGTTACTAAAATTATAAAATCCAATTAGGATCTGGAGCCTGGAAACACTCATCCGCCTCTCGCAGGTGGGGCAGAGACCCCAGGGTAGGCGGGGCTGGGCCTCACCTGGAAGATGACGGTGAAGAAGACGACGATGATGGTGGTGCTGACGAACAGGTTCTTCTCCTTGACCTTCTCTCCATCCAGAAGCACGACTAGTGCAAAGGCCACGGCCCCACGCAGGCCCCCGTAGGACAGGACCACCTGGTCGATGGGCTCCAGCTGCACCATGCGGTAGCGGTTCAGGAGCCATGTCTGCAGGACCACACCTGTGGACGGGGTGGGCACTCAGCTCCCCAGCCACCCGCCTGCCCTGCAGGGCCTTGGTGGGCAAGCACATGCTGACAGAGAACAGCGACACCTGGATATGGTGTCCCCAGGCCCACGTCCCACCGTCCACGGAGCCACACATGGCCTGGTGTCTCCCCACATGCTCCATGCATCACACACGCAGGTGCCAGGGGATGGGGCTGGGTGGGGGTGGGGTCTTCTTATCTCCTGGTCTATCTCCCATCCCACTGACCCTGTCCTAGGCATGTCCTGGGTGAGTCAGCAGGAAACCGAGTAAGCTCCCTTGGGGTCCCAGAGCCTTCTGCCCCAAGGCTGCCACCATTGGGTCCCCTCCTCTGCCTCACACGGAGCTGCACCTCCATCTCCATGGGCGCAGTAGAAAGCCTGCACCTTCCCAGGGATGGGGCCGGCCCATCGCAGCCTCACATCCACAGCCCAGCCCCGCCTCACCGATGGCCCGGTACACGGAGATGAAGACCAGTGTCAGGAGCACAAAGGCCGTGTTCCAGGTCCAGATGAACGGGTTCACGGCCGAGATGCCCAGGAACATGAAGATGATGGTCTCAGCGCCGCTGGCCAGCATCTTCATGGTGTAGCGCACGGTGGTGGCCGACTGCTCCGAGATGTTGGCCTTTACATACTTCTGACAGCAGATGCCGCAGAAGGTGATCCTACGGACAGACATAGACAGACATAGACACGTGGCCTAGTGCCCGAGGCCCCCAAGTCACCCACCCCCCACGGCCTGGCACCTGCAGGCACAGAGTCACAGTCGTGCAGTTACGGGGCCTCTCCCTCCCGAGCCAGGCTGGGCCACCAGGGTTCCTGCCCACAGCCCTGCAGGGTCACAGGCGGCCGTCACCTTTGGTTGGGTACGGGGCACCAGGGCGGCCACCAGGGTGCAACGAAGGGTTCTGGAGCCCCTTGCCCCTCAGCGGCTCACAGACGATTCAGTGAAAACACAAACTCCTTATGATAACATTTGAATAAATTCTTAGCCCCACACTGAATTCCCACCAGCCTGGGAGCACCAGCAGAGTGAAGCAGGCGATGGGGCAGCGGGCTGGGCAGGCCTTCCATGTCCCCTTTCGGGGCTCACAGGGAACTTGTGGGTGACGTAGAGCCCAGGGGTCCTGCCACACACAGCCCCGTGCCCACACAGCTAGCACTGTCCTTGTGAGTTGGGGCCCGGGAGGGCATGGAGAAGCTCAGTGTGCGGGAAGGACTCACGCCAGGATGGCCGACAGTGACAGCATCTCGGACGTCAGGTAGGACAGGTAGGAGATGACGAACACGAAGCCGGGCTCGATGATGCGCACGTGCTTGGTGAAGCGTGTCACCAGTGACAGCAGGAAGGCGAAGATCACCCCCACCAGCGTGCCCCCCAGGCTCACCACGAAGAAGGACACTGGGGAGAGGACGCCCTTTGTGTCTGTGCTGCCTTCCGGGCCCTTCCTCGCCAGAGGCTGCCTGGTGACCCCCGAGGAGGTGCCGGAAGCCCAGGAAACAAGGAGGGGGGATTCCTCGCTCTCTTGGCTCGGCGGTGAGGCGGGGCTGGTCTCAGCACTAGCCTTGGTTCAGCAAGGGAAGAGGACCTTCCCAAGACCCCAGGAGCCTGACCCAGGCACTGTCCGGCCGTCTCTCGGGGAGACCTGGCGGCTCTCGTCCCTGCTCTGGGAAATGCCTAGGAGCCCCAGTCCCTTGTCAACTCCTGTGTGAATCGCTCTGGAAGGGGACGTGGACAGAAGGGCTCAGTGCAGCAGCTTTGAGTGAAAAGCTTTTTCCTGCATGGGCTGCCGGCCAGGTGTGGAGAGAGGATGGTCGGCCCCCAAGGAGACGTGGCCGCCCACCCTCCTTGACCCACAGCTACAAACCTATGCCTTTCACGCAGTCCACACCAGTCACATTGTCACCCCCCAGTGACACGAAAGATTCAAACACATTGTACAGGACCTGCATGGACAGAGACGAGAAGGGCATTCAGGCCCTTGGTCAGCACCGCCCCCTCCCCGGGGCCCAGGCCTCTCCTGACTTGGCCCGAGTGTGGAGCCCACGGGAACCGAGGCCACCAGAAGGAAAATAATCACTGAGCGACGGCAGCTGAAGGGGGAAGGCCAGAGACCAGTGGTCTGGGGGACACCAGGGGCAAAGAACGTTCTGGAGGGAACTAGAAGCTTCAGGAGCAAAGCTGGCCTCTTCTTACCCTTGGCAGAACAGGGGCAGCGGCAGAGCTCTCCCGCCATTGGAATTCTGAGTCTCATTTACCGAGACAAACCCAGGGTTTTAGCAATCTCCCTACTGCGCTGGCTCCAGATTGTGAGGCCGAGCCACATAATCCAAGCCACACAATCTGAGCCACACAATCCGAGCCACACAATCCGAGTCACAGAATCCGAGCCACAAAGACTGACCCCCACGGTCTTTGCGTGTTTTTAAATCTTAGCCCACAGGACCCTGACATAAAATGCGGGGAAAGCTTGTCCACGCCCTGCGCTCCACGTCGAGCGAAGCTGCAATGTGGTGGGACCTACTGAGGGCTGTGCTGGGTGGGCCAAGGTCCCTGGGGAGAACCTGGCTCTGGTCAAGGTGGGAGAGGACCCCCCCTGGGGCAGGTGCGTGAGTTGTGTTTGTGAATGCAGGCTGGGTTAGGGGACCTGAGAAGGTCCTGGGGTCTCTCGGAGACTTTTCAGAGCTGGGTTTTTTAATGAAAATCTAGCTGGGAGGGAAGACAACCTCTTGGGGAGCTCTGGCTTCTATGGGGGCGTGGGAGCTGCAGGGCTGTGGTTACACGGGGCTGTCACTGTATTTCTGATTAAGTCTCATTTCTCAGATTCCCTGAGAATATCTCATTTGCTATGGAAAGAAAAGAAATCTGGTGTGCTACACGCATAGGACATTCCTGAACCCTAAGGAAACATGAGAAGTAGACGGGGTCCTTTGAGAAGCCACAGGCACTGTCAGAGGGGAGAGGAAACGGACCCCACCATTCTGGCTACATGTGCAAGGTCCTCAGGGCTGGGGGAGGATGGCCAGGGCAGCACAGGGACCGGGGCAGCATCAGGGGCAGGGGGCGGCCTGGAGACCGGGCCCAGGGCTGGTCTCACTGATGTTCCTGAGAGGGTTGCCCCATGACTTAGTTCCCGGAGGCAGCCGCCCCATCTGGGGATCACCTTTGAAACATCACGACTGCTGCTGTGAAGTGGCAGTCCTGCTTCTCGGGGTTCGTGACTCTTCACCTGGCCTTACTTAGCGCTGATGTGGCCTCTGGGCCTCCATGGGGGCCCCCATCCAACCCTGACCCCCCGCAGAGCCCTGCAAGCTGCCGGAACCATCTCCTGGAGAGAAATCCACACAATGCCTGTGGCCTGCTGTCAGCACCAGCTCCATTCCCCTTCCTTCACTCCTTTTATGTGCAAAATTGTGCCCCCAAATTCCCATGTTAAAGTACCAGCCCCCAGGACCTCAGCATGTGAGTATGTGTGGGGGGGCAGAGTATTTAAAGAGGGCGCACAGCACAGTGAGGTCACCAGCATGGACCCTGATCCCATGGGACCCGTGTCCCTGTAGGGGGAGGAGATTAGAGCACATTCACCTAGGGACAACCACGTGAGGACAGGGAAGGCACCATCTGTAAGCCCAGAACAGGGGTCCCGCAGGAATCCACCCCACTGACACCGTGATCAGAACGGCGTTCAAGGCACTGGACCTGCGGCACTTCGTCACGGCGGCCCCGGCAGGTTACAGGGTTCCTGTGGGATTTTGTTGCTGGCTTATTCATGTGTGTATTTATGTTTTTGAGATGGAGTCTCACTCCTGTCCTCCATACAGGCTGGAGTACAGTGGCAAAATCTGCACTCGCTGCAGCCTCTACCTCCCAGGTTCAGGTGAGTCTCCTGTCTCAGCCTCCCAAGTAGCTGAGATTACAGGTGCACCCACCACACTCAGCTAGTTTTTGTATTTTTACTAAAGACAGAGTTTCACCATGTTGGCCAGGCTGGTCTCACACTGCTGACCTCAGGTGATCCACCTGCCTCGGCGGCCCCAAGTGTTGGGATTACAGGCGTGACCCACCGTGCCTGGTCACTCATGTATTTTTTAGGAACTCAGGAATGGGTGGTAGCAACTGTGGGTCTAAAGTCACAGATCCCTGCTCCGGAGTCCGGGAGGGTGGGATTTTCACAGCGCCATCGTTAACCCTGAAGGTGTGGATGGGCGGACCAGGCCTAAGAAAGCCTCGTGAAAGCCGCCCATGGTTCTGAGCTGGGAAGAGGGAGGTGAAGGGACGGGACACCCGGGAGGGGAGTGTGGGGACAGGGTTTCAAGCCCTCCTTTGCCGACGGACTGATGGGGGCAAGATGGGGCCCAGGCCTGCACGGCGTGGCTGCTCTGGAGCCTCAGTTCTGTGGCTTACCACGGTGACTGCATCGTTCAGCAGGGACTCCCCAAAGACGATGATGAACAGGACCTCGTTGACATGGACCTCCTCAAACACGGCCAGGACGGCCACCGGGTCCACGGCGGCAATGAGGCTGCCGAACAGGAGGAAGTCCAGCAGCCCGATCTGCAGGTCACCTGGAAAACAAGCAGAGCTGTGGGGTGAGCGCAGGCGCTGCCACCCGAGTGGGAGGCCCTGGGGAGACACTTGGCTGCAGGTGTGGGGCCTGAGCCTGATGCCAGTGGTGAGGGGAGCCAGGCCAGCCACAGGTGTTCCTCCCACAGGCCTCTGATGCCCTCCGGGGAAGGCTGGTGTCTTCCAAGGGGGCCCATTTCATCTGAGCAGGGCAGATCGAGAGACCGACCCCAGCCCCTACTTCATCTTCAGGCGATGGGGGCCCCGGCCTGCACAGCACAGCCTGGAGAGAATTGAACCCTCTCACTGGGGTTCCCAGCCCAGCAGTGAAGGTGTCTGAGGCAGGTGGGGGCAGGGGACTGTGTGCTGGAAGGATGGGAGCCCATCACCTTGAGTGACATCCCAGCCTGGGGGGAGCAAGTAGGGCAGACCCAGGACAGGCCTGGAGCTGGGCACACAGCACCCTGGGGCCACGGCCAGAGAGGGGCAGGTGGGAGGGCCGTTGGGGACATGGAGGCAGATTGTGGGGATGAACGGGGCTGTGGGGGAGTAGGGGGTTTGGAAGGCATGGTCCCCATGGTCCCCAGTGCCTGGCCAGCTTTCCTCCCCTCCTTGCACCTGCTTGCGGGCTCTGATGTCCCTTGATGAGGAGGTTTTACTGAAATGCGGCCTTATCCTGCACAATTCAACCCAGGGTCCAGGCCTCGAGCAGGCCATGAGGGAGTGCTGGGCTCCAGGGAGCCCTCGGGGGACTGAGTGTGGCCACATGGGCCCTGAGCACCTGCCCTCGCTCATGGCTACAGGGCTCAGAGGACACGGCCTCCCTGTTGCCTTCCCAGCTATGAGAGTCCAAGGACTGGAGATGCCAGGGCCGTGAGGGGGTGGGAGAGGCCACCCAGGGAGGGGCATGCTCCCTCAACATGTGAGGCCTGCCTGAGTCCCACACACAGCTCCTGCCTCCCTGCTGGGCTGGAACAGAACCCATCACACCCCTGGGCAGAGGCTTGGGCTTCTGGGAGCTTTGTCCCTGGAGCAGGACAGGCCCCAGGAGATAGCGTAGAACAGCCTGACCAGAGGTTTCTGTACTAGCGCCCGGGAGGGGACAGGTCAGGGTCGCCTCTGTGGTGACTAAACCCCGAGTCTGCTGTGAGCGGCTAAGCCCCGGCAGCTTCTGGCCAGCATCACAACACCCCGAGGAGGTGGCAGATGTCAGAAGAACCAGTGTTCAGGGAGGCAAGGTCTCCGCCTGGGAATGGGAACCACGTGTGATTTCTCCACCTCTGAACTCAGGCCTCAGGACGCGAATCCCCTTCAGAGTCATCTTTAAACACAGCTTCCTCGCTCTGCAGCCCCGTGGATGCCCTCGGCTCTGAGCAGGCAGGGTCCTGGGGTCGGCCGCATCCAGACCAACTGGGAAGCATCCTGCCTGTCTGGACAGCTGCCCTGTGCTGGCCCTGCCGGGAGCTCATACCACCAGGCCTCTTTCCACCATGTGCTTTGCCTTTGCAAGGGCCTCTGATGCCCGGAGCTTCTGCAGAGCCTGTCCCCACACTGCCCAGACACCCCCCAGGCCAACCCTGTCATGTGGACCCTTTCCCGAGGGGCAGGTCTGGCCTTAAGGCACTCCACGGGGCTTGGCCACTGGTCTGCATAGATCAGTCGTGGACTCCCAGCTCCCTCGGGCTCCCAGGAATGGGACGGACCCACAGCTGTGGGCCTCTATGCTCCAGGACCTCAGGCAGCACTCAGCTTTGACCAGCTGGGCCCAAGGCTGAGCGCAGGCCTCTGGTATCCATGTCACCTGGGGAGCGGCCTGCCTCAAGGGGGCACAGCAATGCCTGGGACTCGTGTTTCCCACAGGGAGCATGGTTGGAGGATGGCGGAACCCAGTGCAGCTGGTGAGGGCCAAGGACATCCCCCAGTTGTGAGTCCTCCAGGGCCTGAAGGAGCAGGTACAGCAAGGACGTCCTGGATCAGGCGTCCTCCAGGGTCTGAAGGAGCAGGTGCAGCAAGAATGTCCCCACGTCGGGCGTCCTCCAGGGCCTGAAGGAGAAGGTGCAGCAGGAATGTCCTGGGGTCAGGTGTCTTCCAGGGCCTGAAGGGGCAGGTGCAGCAAAGACGTCCCTGTGTCGGGCGTCTTCTAGGACCTGGAGCAGCAGGTACCGCAGGAATGTCCTGGGGTCGGGCGTCCTCCAGGGCCTGAAGGAGCAGGTACAGCAAGGATGTCCTGGATCAGGCATCCTCCAGGGCCTGAAGGAGCAGGTGCAGCAAGAATGTCCCCACGTTGGGCGTCCTCCAGGGCCTGAAGGAGAAGGTGCAGCAGGAATGTCCTGGGGTCAGGTGTCTTCCAGGGTCTGAAGGGGCAGGTGCAGCAAGGTCGTCCTGGGGTCGGGCGTCTTCTAGGACCTGGAGCAGCAGGTGCAGCAGGAATGTCCTGGGGTCGGGCGTCCTCCAGGGCCTGAAGGGGCAGGTGCAGCAAGGTTGTCCTGGGGTTGGGCGTCTTCTAGGACCTGGAGCAGCAGGTGCAGCAGGAATGTCCTGGGGTCGGGCGTCCTCCAGGGCCTGAAGGGGCAGGTGCAGCAAGGTTGTCCCCGTGTCAGGCATCCTCCGGGGCCTGCAGGAAGGTCGTCCCGGGGTTGGGCGTCCTCCAGGACCGGAAGGTGCAGCGGCAGTGTGAACATTCTACTCCAGGCCAGGCCAGTTGCTCTGAGGACCTTCTGCTTCCTACAAGGGAAATCTGGCACTGTCTCTGGCCAATGCTAGGAGGGGACCATCGTGACCAGCGGCCTCAGAGCCACGGAATGTGTCTGGCTCTCAAAGGATCCATCCTGATGGCCAGACTGGCCCATCCACCCACACTAGACACAGCTTGGAGGAAGTGCTTGGCTGGGATCTCATGGGCGAGGGACCCTCTGGCAAGGTGGCCATGACCCTCGAGGAGCCACGGGTCCATGAGTCCCTGCTCTGACTCCCTTGGGCCCCGGGGCTAGGGCAGCTGCCCCATCCTAGGTGCATCCTGACCATCTACGGCATTGCCCACGTGATGCGTGGCACCCACAGCGCCGGCCTGAGCCTGCTGTCCACGAGTCTATGAGGCCTGCACCGTCAGTGGCTTTCTCTGGGCTGGGCCTGGCGGGTGGTGCCAGACAGCACGGGTTCCAGAGAGGGGTAAGAATGAGGCCCCAAGGGACCATGTGCCAGGTGGGGGTGGCTCTAACCTGGGAGCTCCTCTTTCTCATTAGTCTTCTTGGTCTCAGGTCTCAGCCCCTGGACTCCCATGGAGAGACCAGGCCATGCTCTCCCTTGAACCAGACAGAAAATCGCCAATTCTTGCAAGTCCAGTTCAGCTGGTGAACGTGTTTGAGGCTGACACTGAGTTCTCAGACAGGTGGGGAGGCCAGGTGAGGGCATCAGGTGCGACACCTTCCCCCTCCTTCCTGGCCACCCCCGGCACTGGAGCTGATCCTGGGCCCCAGGCACAAAGGCGTTTGAGGCCTGTGGTCCACCTTGGGGCTTAGCTGGTCCGGCAGCAGCGGCCGGCAGCAGCACTGCATGACACCTGGCATATCTGTGCGAGGCCTCAGGAGGCATCAGCTAGGCAGGATCGGGCTCCAGGGCAGGAGGCGGTGCCCGAGAGACAAAGCACCCAAGGGTCAAGAAGCCAAAACCAGGCAGGCTGCACTGGCTGTGGATGCAGCTCAGCCACATGGATGTGGAAGTGGCCGAGTGGCTCTGGTACACGGGAGAGGAGGAACAGCGCAAGGTGCACGAGTCTCTGCAGTCCTCTTCTCCCTGGGGACCTGGTGGCCAGCGAGTGTAGACGGACTGTGCTCTCTTCTCTCTGGAGACCCAGCGGCCGGTGAGTGGATGGACCGTGGCTCCTCTTCTCCATGGGTTCCTGGTGGCCGGCCAGTGTGGACAGACCCCGGCTTCTGCCCAGCACCAGAGTAAGAGCAGAGGCCCCTGGCCACCTGCAGTCTCCAGCTGAGCTGCCGAGACAGAAGCGCCTCCCCAAGGGCTGTGTCCCACCCTTCCTGGCTGAGGGCTGGGGCCTGGGGATGCACATGGGACTGGCCTTGGTCATGAGGCCCCACAGGGCTACCAGCCACATTTCTCACCTGACATTGCGTGGAGGCCTGTGTGCTGAGAGGAGGCAGCCCGGCCCCTCCTGGACCCCGCCCTGGGCCCTGGCAGGGGGCAGCAGCAGCGCAGACTCACCCATGAGCCCACTGAGGAAGACGCCATAGAGGGACAGGCCGGTGGTGGCTGCGTTCCATACGGTGCCCACGACTGCGTACAGCAGAATGGTGCCCAGGTTGCCGAAGAAGAGCCGGTTAGGCATGAAGTAGCCGGCGTCCAGCACGATGGGGGGCAGCAGGTAGAAGAAGAAGACGGTGGGCGTCAGCGTGAAGGACGCGATGTGGTCAGCCGCCCAGACGATGCCACCCAGCACCAGGCCCAGCACAATGAGCAGGGCGCTCTCGGGAACCACACTGGTGACCTTGTGGGACAGGTGGAACCCTGCAAGGGAGGGGAGGGAGGTCAGGGGGGGCTGTGGGGGAGGGGAGGTCAGCCTGACCAGGTCCCATGGGGCTCAGAGATGCTGGCATCCAAGACTGTTCCCCACTTTTCAGGGAGCCCAAGAGGGCCGGGAGGGAGGGTGCAGAGGCAGCCTCTGGGGGCCTCCAGAATGGGGTTGGTTGGAGGAGGCTGCGGTGCTGTGGGCAGAGGCCCATGCTGGGTGGACAGGGGTGGGCCTCTGACCTGCCCCCCTGCCCCAGCTGGCTCTGGTCCCCTGTGCCTTGTGTGTCAGTGACCAAGGTCTGGGCTCGCTCAGACTGTCCCTGACCTGTCCAGAGCCTGCTCCTTCTAGAGGCTGGCTCTGTTTCTCACCCCTCTCCTGGGATCACAGCCCCCGGGTGGGGCCTTCTAGGAACGATCTTTGGGTCCCACCAATGACAGCTCACTTCCCTCCCACGGGTGAGCCTGAGGGCGGACAGCAGGCCCTGGGGCCCCATGGAGCCAACACGTTTCACCGTGTCCCCTGGCACCACTGCCCCTGCAGGACCCCAGAGTTAGAGGTCTGCCCTGTGGGTGGGGGCACAGGCACCAGCCTATCTGGGCCACGTCTCCTGTGTTTTAATTGGACTCAGAAAGAAAAAGGTGATGCGAATTCCTGCATTCGACCTGATTTCAAAATAGCGGGAAGGCGTGTCCTCCGGCTCAGATGATGTGAGGGATAATTAGCTTCCTCATTCCCTCAGCTGCTGTTTATTAATTTGAAAGGCAAAGGCAAGTTGTCTCCTGAGATGGGCAAGACCCCATTTAAACACAGAGCTGCGGGAGCAGGGAGGCTGTCACAGACCCGAAGACCCCCCGCCTCCGAAGAACCTGTGGGCACGGCCTGAGGGCGTCGGGGGCAGCAGCCATGTCCCGCCCTTCCCGGCTGTGTGGCCTTGATGAGCTCAGCCCTCCCTGCCGGTTTTCTCCCTTGTAATTATGGGGCTCTTGCAGGGATCGGGTGCTGGCCGAGGAGGGAGGTGCTGTTTTGGTTTTGCCAAATACCACGGGTGGCCCAGCAAACTGCAGAGGGCAGGGCCTGGAGGGAGGGAGGGCGGCTGTCCCTGGGGGAACACAGGGGGCGAGTTCCTTGGAGTCCTCGGGGCCCTGCTCAGAGCTGGCCTGGAGGGGCCCGTCGGCTCCAGTTGTCAGCAGGAGAGCATCTGCCGGGTTGACCCTGCAGCCATCTACAGCTCTCCATTCTCTGGAAGGTGCTCCCCTTGCAGCTCTGATGTACCCCAACAGCCGGTTCTCAGCAGCGCCTTCCCCAGACCTGGGCTTACAGAGCTGCAGGCCCGCAGGAAAACAGGCCCCTCTCTTCCTCTGGGCTCCATGGCATGGTCCCTGTGGTGGCTGGGGACAGACTCAGCCTCGCAGAGCTTTGGGAAGACGTGGGTGGCCTCTTCCGGCCCTGCAAGGGGAGGGCTGTGGCTTCTGCTCAGGGCAGCCTGGGGCCCCCTCCAGATCCGGCTCAACAGGTCCTAGGCTGGCCTGGGAATCTGCATGCTCGGGGTTCTGAGGCCCTTGGGAGTCCTGCTGGGGGTCCCCGTGGGGAAAGAAGGCCTGGAGCTGGTGCTCTCGCATCTGTGGACTCCTGATTTCTTTCTCAATGTCCAGAGACACGTGGAGTGCACCACCTTCTGTTCCTTCCTGAGGCTGTAAATACTGACCACGGTGTCCCTAGCTGTGTTCAGAAGACCTGGGTGGTTCGTGCCTGGTGCCAGCGCTTGCACCCGAAGGCCCAACCCGAGCCTCCCGCATCATCACCTCCGCTGCTGCCCCACGAGTGAGTGCCCTGGCGAGACCCACCCAGGCCACTGTTTTCCACAGCATCGCCATGGCCATGGTGACCCCTGAAGGCTGCCCAGGCCCTGGCGAGACCCACCCAGGCCACTGTTTTCCACAGCATCGCCATGGCCATGGTGACCCCTGAAGGCTGCCCAGCCCCTGGCGAGACCCACCCAGGCCACTGTTTTCCACAGCATCGCCATGGCCATGGTGACCCCTGAAGGCTGCCCAGCCCCTGGCGAGACCCACCCAGGCCACTGTTTTCCACACAACGCGTTTTCTGCCTCTGCCCACGTCCCAGGCTGGCTCCTGCAGGGGGTCAGCTCACCTGTCCTCCCCTTCCAGGGTCACAAGACCTGGGAGACGGTGCTTGCCCAATAGCTCTTGTGGGGCAGCCAGAGGGGTACTTGTGGCCCCTTGGTGCCTGCCAGCGTGTGAACCACTCTGAGGATAAAATCCTGTGACCACAGAGACCAGGCACCCCCAGGCAGGGGCAGCGTGGCTGAAGGTGCCACCTGGGACCAGGCGGGAGCCCAGGAGCTCCAGGACGCCATCGCCTGAGGTGGCCTAAAACATGTGACCTCGGGTCCTCTTGTCAGGGCGTGGGTCTTTTAGCCACAATCTTCCAAAATTAGATTTACAGCAATCACCACCATTGTGAAGCCACCAGACAACTGCGGGGTCAGGAGGTCAGGGATGCATGGGGCCAGCGTTGTCTTTAAAAACAACAATGGGCCGGGCGCGGTGGCTCACGCCTGTAATCCCAGCACTTTGGGAGGCCGAGGCGGGTGGATCAAGAGGTCAAGAGATCGAGCCCATCCTGGTCAACATGGTGAAAATCCGTCTCTACTAAAAATACAAAAAATTAGCTGGGCATGGTGACGTGACGGGGGCCTGTAATCCCAGCTACTCAGGAGGCTGAGGCAGGAGAATTGCCTGAACCCAGGAAGCGGAGGTTGGGGTGAGCAGAGATCGCGCCATTGCACTCCAGCCTGGGTAACAAGGGTGAAACTCTGTCTCAAAAAAAAAAAAAAAAAAAAAAAAAAAAACCTACACAGCTCCACACACCAGTGCCTCTGTACTCCCCATGCCATCGCTGACCCTCCGCAGACTCCATCATGGCCTCTGTGCTCCACACACGGCTGGCCATCCGCCACACTCCATCATGGCCTCTGTGCTCTCCACACTGCTGGCCCTCTGCCACACTCCATCATGGCCTCTGTGCTCCCCACGCCATCGCTGGCCCTCCGCCACACTCCATCATGGCCTCTGTGCTCCCCACACGGCTGACTCTCCGCCACACTCCATCATGGCCTCTGTGCTCCCCACGCCATCACTGGCCCTCCGCCACACTCCATCATGGCCTCTGTGCTCCCCACACGGCTGACTCTCCGCCACACTCCATCATGGCCTCTGTGCTCCCCACGCCATCGCTGGCCCTCCGCCACACTCCATCATGGCCTCTGTGCTCCCCACACGGCTGACTCCGCCACACTCCATCATGGCCTCTGTGCTCCCCACACGGCTGACTCTCCGCCACACTCCATCATGGCCTCTGTGCTCCCCACACGGCTGACTCTCCGCCACACTCCATCATGGCCTCTGTGCTCCCCACACGGCTGACTCTCCGCCACACTCCATCATGGCCTCTGTGCTCCCCACACGGCTGATTCTCTGCCACACTCCATCATGGCCTCTGTGCTCCCCACACGGCTGGCACTCCGCCACACTCCATTATGGCCTCTGTGCTCCCCACGCCATCGCTGGCCCTCCACCACACTCCAGTGCGGCCACCGCTTTCTGTGAAAACCTGTTAATCAGGACACTGGCAGGTGAGGGGCAGGCTGGCTTCAGACCAAACACTCCTGCTCAGAAGTAAACCCTGACCTTTGTAGTCACTGAAAAAAGTATACATGTGTTACCTACAGGTTGCCAGAGGAGGTTAGGTCGGACCTGCCATGCACACACTACCACGTAGGTGGAGGGTGGCTGTTTCCAGCCTTCTGCCGTCGGAGTTGGAAAGGGCATCCTGGATACGCCTTTCCCACGGGCAGCTCCTGGAGCCTGCAGCATGCGTGTGTGTTGAGTTGAGAGCTCACCCATGTTCTCCTGCACGGCCGTGCCTGTCCCACCTGCCCACGTTGGAGGAGCTGTGAGCCACATCCCCTAGGAGGTCCAACCCAAGATCCCCAGATGACCTGGGGTGATGCCGAGCGACTTCCGGTTCTGTGAATGGAGTTGGCTTGCTCCCTGCCCGGGCGCCGATTCTCTCCTGCTGACTGAGGTTCCTTGTAAGCTGGGAAATTTCGCCATGGCCTACGTCTTCAGCGGCAGGTGGGTTTTCCTGCTCAGACGTGCTGCTCTGAGCTATCCACCTGTCTGTGTCATTTGCTCCATGCAAACATCTTCTCTTTTTATAGTTAAATTTATTGGTCTCTTGTTTTATGGCTTCTGTGTTTTGTGTCATGCTTAACGAAACTGTTTCTGCTCCTGTTTTCTGCTAACCTTTTTAGCAGGAAAGATAAAAGGCACTCAATTCAATTTTCTGGGAAGACTGGACTCAGTGGTTCTCACCTGTAATCCCAACACAACAGTTTGGGAGGCCAAGGCAGGTGGGTCCCTGAGCCCAGGAGTTCAAGACCAGCCTGGGCAACATGGCAAAACCCCGACTCTACAAAAAGATACAAAGACTCTGCTGGGTGCCGTGGCACACAACTGTAGTCCCAGCCACTTGGGAGGCCGAGGTGGGAGGATCACCTGAGCCTGGGAGGTTGAGGCTGCAGTGAGCCAAGTTCACACCACTACACTCCAGCCTGGGTAACGGAGGCCTTGTCTCAAAAAAACAAAACAAACTTTTTTTTACTTGAATATAACAAATAAAATACATAAAAATAGTTGGGACTCAGAAGGCCTGCTAGCCCGAGACAGTCTTTCCACACATTCGCCGGTTCCTGAAATCCCTGAGCCTGGGAGTGGGTCTGGGTGGCGATGCCGGACAGCTCCCGCCTCCAGGAGCCCCTGCCCCTCCCGCAAGGGTGTCCCGTGAGTATTCCTGGGTGGCTCTTGGCGCCTCTGCCCCTGCACTGCGGGTGTCCATGAGTATTAATAGATGGCTCCCGGTGCCCCTGCCCTTGCCCATTGGGTGTCCCGTGAGTCACTGCACTACTCTGCCT